ACCAGCTAGGGATTTTCCAATTAGACGAGATTTCTATGTCACACTGTACTATACTATTGTATCCTTGATAGTACTGTATGTCAAAAATAATGTCAAGATTCTGCGTAAAGTTTAGAGGTACGGATTATATACAGACTGTCAGGTCTGATGTACAAACGTCCCCCCGATAGTCCCACCCACCGTAAGGTGTTCTGACTATGTAGTCGGTGAACGAAGTACAGTAGCACGAAAACTCGAAGAATGCTTGACGCCAACAGTTTATCCAGTCGATATATCTTAAGGAGAATTACTGTTGAGGGAAATGACCTTATCACTTTTCTGTATAATTAGCCGTAAGCGTTGAAGGTCGACCACCCCGGGTAGATAGCATTGTCTACCGTTCGACTGTAAAATTAGCTGCAGAAAGAATTCGACTCTACCCTACCGGTCAGCTTGTCCTACCTAAGCGATGCGTAATAGGGTCAAATATGTCGTTTGTAGTATTTAAAGACTCTCGGGTGCGATTATGATCTTCGTGAGATTGCCTAAACCTATCAGAAGCGTGATACAGTAAGCGTTAGGTCTTGAAACTTCTATCCGGAACTCTATATAAATCTAAAAACCATGCTTCTTTCCGACCCTACGATAGATGCTCCGGTGAGTCTATCGCTATTGGTAGTTGCTATAAGACCTTGATCTAATGGCAGAGTAGGAATTCCTTCGGATGCTCGCCCGATTCGACGCTCGTGCCGTCCGAGCAGAACGAGCCTAAGTTAAAGCCGAATAGGAGCTGGGCGCCGTGTAGGCCGCTCTGTAGTAGATGACCGCCGAGCAGGATCAGCTTTCTCGATTGGCAGAAATCTTCTACGAAACGTGTAAGAGAATGGGGAAAGTGCTGGACCATTAGATGAAAGCGCAGGAACTTAAAGGAGACGGAGATAGAAAGGGGGCGGCTGAGGGGGAGGGGGATGACCCGGAATCGATAAAAGAGATACTGGACAGGGTGTTAGAGGAACTCGAAAAGTCCGAGTACAGCGGTAGAGTTGGTAGCGAAAACGGTGAATCGAAGTCTGCCTCTATAGCTAAGGAATAGCGTTGAGACAGATGGTAGCGTAATAGTATATAGTAGCAGCGGGGCTAGAGGGTAAGCACACCTATGAATACTAGATGTTATATATCGAAGCTAGTACCTAAGCCTAAGCATCTGTCCTTAGTTATATTAGATTATTAGGTATCCGGCTCCCGCCTTCTAGCATTCCTTCCCTCGTGTTGTTTGACTGTAGCCTCCATTCGATATAAGAGACCTGCAGCGACTGTAACGGATACGAAGGCTGATACGTACTCTGCAACGCTTCCTGGACGAATGCGAACTAACTATCACGGAAGAACATTCCACGAATATTGCTACACTCGAGCCCGCCTTCGACTATAAGCGCAAGCGACGGTTAACAGCACTATCTCTAGAGATCTTGCTCATTAAGCAGCGGACCGAGGAAAGCATGGAAAATCTGATAGCCCGGTTAGAAGAGATAGGCCTCGGAGTAGAAGTAGAACCGTATGTCGCAGTTATTTTGTAAATAGGCTTTGACAGAGTAGGCTCGTTACAGATAGATGGTAGAATTAATAGGAACAGCAACGTCCCTGTATCTTCGGCGGGGCATCTAGATCAGCACGTCGGTAGATAAGCACTTCTCTATTACGGTGTAGCGTCAGTGGCAAGAGCTTGTAATTCAGGGCCAGAAGCAAGCTGATAGTGTGGAATTCGGCTTTGTAGCTGGGTACTACTCAGTCGGCAATAGAGAAACTGACCAACTAAGGACCGTATGGATCTACTATAGCTCCTTACTAAGACCAGCTAAGCAAGTCGTACAAACCGCCTTTGCCATTGCCATTGCTATAGCCCGGTTTAATATCTTCGTAACCGGCCCGGTTAGCCAGGAGCAGAGCTTGCCCATGCCCAAGAGCTGGACACGCAGCTCACCACTATCTACACCCTTGCTGGGCTCGGTCGGTGAGATGCTGCATTCTAGTTTCCCGTCCTTGAAACTGTGTTTCCTCCATGATCATCGCACCTTCCTGGTGTAGGAGCCGGATGAATTGTCCCTCTACTAGATCCTGGCTCTAAAATGCCTAATATCTGAGAGCGTAATTGCGGCAAATGCTGGAATGGTACGTGGCAGGAACTTACGGAGCTGAGGCGCCGCTGGAAGGTGTGTATACATCACTGACTAGGGGCAGGTAAAGGAAGGAATTGGCTACCTACGCGGTGCGAATCAGCTTCGTAATTCGGAAGTTTCAAGATCGGCGAGACGGGTAGGTGGGAAATAGCGACTGTACGAAATCACTGCATCCGAGAGGGACGCGGCCACGCTTAAGCTTTTAGTCCTCACTAGGATCGTCGGCAGGAGCTAAGGGGCCAAAAGCACTGAGAAGATTATTAATTAAGAAGCTATTATAGGTCAATCTTGCTCGCATCACATCATCATCGTAACTGACCAAGTATTCTGATTTCTGGTAGCGGACCTAGCACGAGGGGAGATTAAAGACGATCTGGCTAACGAGGCGGCGTATTACAGGGTGGATTCGTGTTCCGACCGGTCGTAGAAGGGTCCGCGAGTATCTTCAAGATCGACCTTTCCGCCAGGACTAGGCGTCGCGTTTCGCTCCTACTCTTCTCACGCGAACTTGCCCCGTGGCGAGAACGAGGCAGCGATGGGGAAGGCAGTGAAGGTGGTGGCTGGCATAAGTTTGCTTGGTCGTTCTCGCGGGCTGGCTTCACGTGTTACTGCCTCTTGTCGATGATTTGAAATGGCGTGTGGAGATTATATCATGGTAGAAGGGAATCAGGCATCGATAGCGTCGCCGCATGTCCTCGCCGCATTTGCTAAAAGACTGCCTGGCCGTCGGTGTAACGGAACGTTTAAGAGGTTCAGAAAATACGATAGTTATATATATTGAGTGTAGTACGCAATCTGTAAGGTAATGATTATTCTTAACCACGACAAGAGACGTCCTCTAATAGATGTCTACTGCAGAGCCCAGTCTATATCTTAGCGAAGTGATTGAATCATACCAGGAATTACAATCAAAACGCGTAAAAACACGAAGAGAACGGCAGCACAAACAGTGAACGACACTATCAAAACAACTTTCCTATTTTATAAATTAGCCGAAGCCCATCTGTTGCCCCACCAACCCACCGACCAACACGACATCCACTCTCCGACGCGTCGCTCACCTAGGTCGCGTAAAGTGGCGCCGCGGCCTTCCTTCTTAGCTCTCTACTGTTACGCTTTTCTCCGAGGTACTATCTAAGCAGTCATACAGTCATCTAGGGGCCAAATCGCATAGTAGAGCGCTGGTAGGCACGATACGTATATATATCAAGAAACACTCGTAATCATTTCTACATGACTCTTGAAGAGTCGAGTCAACGATAGGCGTGCAAGATCATGATACACGTATCATCGTTAAGGGCTACCACCGGAAAAAATCGAATAGACCTATCATTGAGGGAGATATTTCTAGACGATGGTTGAAAAAGAAAAAAGGAAAAAAAAACTATAAAAAATGAAACTTAATTCCGCGAGCCGTTGAAAGGATTTAAGTCGTTGGTATGAAAAGTCCATATTGCCAGCTAATTTCTGGCCAAGCCGCTGGAACTAAATTGAGCGATTCGGTCGCTGATTCTGTAACCGTTAAGATTATTAGGGGCGGGAGAGTATTGAAGAAAATAATTCTAGTGATCGTTGAAAATAAGAAGACGTTGAAATTAAGTAGTCGTTGAAAACATCAACTGAGGGAGTCGGTGAAAAAAATAAATGGAAGGGAACACAGAAGATTCGAACCTCGTTGAAGGGAAGCGTTGAAGGGAAGAATTGAAGGGAAGCGTTGAAGGGAAGCGTTGAAGGGAAGATCTGGAGCGCGTTGAAAAACAGTTCCATTGATAAAAGCCACTAGGGAACATCCGGTGAAAAACTAAGATCAGGAATTCGTCGTTCTTCCGACATTTTCTCAGGTATTTAATTATTCAGCAAAATTCATTTACGGGATTGTGGGGAGGGGAATGTCGAAGAATCGTTGAAAAGTTTTAGATGTCGGGGACCGTTGAGGGGATATCGAGCGTTTCCTAACAATCGTTCATAAAAGTTGTGGAAGATCGAGGCTTTGCAGCTAATTGGAGTGGGTCAGTGAAGGAACTTGTCAACGATTTCATGTTGCAAGAACCAAGAGAAGAGTGTGCCAAAACAATACTATCCTACAGAACCTTGAAGTGACTGATGAATCCATGATAGTTCGTGGCCCAGGAACTTGAAGAGTTTCTTTCGAAGAACATTGAGCACTTACTGTGATTGATTGAAATGAATTACGTGCAGACGTTGGATTCATTGGAGGGGGCCTTGAAAAGCACCGTCAGGATGACTTGAAATGGCGTCTGGAGATTATATCACAGTGAAAGGAATCAGGTTTCTGCAAAGTCAACACATGACCTCGGCGCTTTTGTTGACAGACTGCATGACCGTCTATGTGGCGAATCATCCTACAAGTTCAGAAAACGGGATGGAATACAGTCGATAGCGAAAACAGCTTCTACCCTTTTGGCTGCTTTTCTTCATCCAGGCCCCACTGCCAAGGGATATTTACCCCACTATTGTTTCAAGAATAGATAGAACTCATAAATATGACAATACAGATACTGTAAATTACATGCTCTTTACAAAACAGGGTTGTTAATAAACAGCCTTTACAGTATCCCCAGCATACGTGTGATAGTAAGACAGAAATTTTGAATTTTACGAAGAGACCTCTTCAGTCATTCGTAGATGATAATTCCTATATTCATATCAAGCGAGATTATGATATGGCGACAATGGGAAGCCACTTAGCTAATGCCAGTAGTTACAGTAGCAGCTACTTGATGTACAAATTCCGAGGTCATGGGACCTTCAACCTCAAGAGAGATGGGTAGGGGTTTGGACTAATTAGGAACCAGACGCGCTGAGGATTACCAAAATCTTATATTATTCTACCAAAGACGCACCTTGGACAGTATTTCCATCCTCTCCACCCTGAGTGCCCTTCTCTAGCAGGAGCTGTACAATCTTATCGTGTCCTCTGTAAGACGCAGCTTGGAGCGCATTCTCATACCATCCACCTTGGGCGTTGACCTCAGCGCCCTTCTCCAGCAGGAGCTGCACAATCTTATCGTGTCCTCTCGAAGACGCAGCTTGGAGGGCATTCCCATACTCTCCACCTTGGGCGTTGACCTCAGCGCCCTTCTCAAGCAGGAGTTGTACAATCTTATCATGTCCTTCCAAAGACGCAGCTTGGAGGGCACTACCATAGTCTCCACCTCGGGCATTGATCTGAGCTCCTTTTCTTAGTAGCGACTGCACAATCGTAACGTTTCCTCCAGCAGACGCAGCCTGGAGAGCATTTCCAAAACTTGCACTTTGGGCGTTTACATCGACTCCTTTCTCAAGAAGTAACTGCACAATCTTATCATGTCCTCTGTAAGACGCAGCTTGAAAAGCATTCCCATAGAATCCACCTTGGGCACTGATCTGAGCTCCTTTCTCCAACAGCAACTCTACGATTTTATTGTGTCCTTCCAACGACGCAGCTTGGAGAGCACTCCCATAGAATCCACCTTGGGCATTGATCTCAGCTCCCTTCTCCAGCAGGAGCTGCACAATCTTATCGTGTCCTCTGTAGGACGCAGCTTGGAGAGCACTCTCATGGTGTCCACCTCGGGTATTAATCTCAGCTCCGTTTTCCAGTAGCAACTGCACGATCGTATCATGTCCTCTGTAAGACGCAGCTTGGAGAGCATTCCCATACTGTCCACCTTGGGTATTAATCTCAGCTCCCTTCTCCAGCAGGAGCTGCACAATCTTATCGTGTCCTCTCGAAGACGCAGCTTGGAGGGCATTCCCATACTCTCCACCTTGGGTATTAATCTCAGCTCCCTTCTCCAGCAGGAGCTGCACAATCTTATCGTGTCCTCTCGAAGACGCAGCTTGGAGGGCATTCCCATACTCTCCACCTTGGGCATTAATCTCAGCTCCCTTTTCCAGTAGGAACTGCACAATCTCATCATGTCCTCCGTAAGACGCAGCTTGAAGAGCAGTTGCATAGAATCCACCTTGCTTATTGAGCCTAGCTCCTTTTTCTAGCAGTAACTGCACAATTTTATCATGCCCCCCATAAGACGCAGCCTGGAGAGCATTTCCAAAGTATCCGCCTTGGACATTGATCCCAGCTCCTTTTTCAAACAGTAACTGCACAATCTTATCATATCCTCCAAAAGACGCAGCCTGGAAAGCATTTCCAAAGTGTCCACCTTGCTTATTGACTCTAGCTCCTTTTTCTAGTAGCAACTGCACAATTCCATCATGCCCCCCGTAAGACGCAGCCTGGAGAGCATTTCCAAAGCTTCCACCTCGAACATTGCGTCCAGCTCCTTTTTCAAGCAGCAACTGCGCAATCTCATCATATCTTCCAGTAGACGTAGCCTGGAAAGCAATTCCGAAGTGTCCATCTTGCTTATTGACTCTAGCTCCCTTTTCTAGCAGCAATTGCACGATCTTATTATATCCTCGTAGAGACGCAGCTTGGAGAGCATTTCCATACTCTCCACCTTGAGCATTGACCTCAGCGCCCTTCTCTAGCAGGAGCTGTACAATCTTATCGTGTCCTCTCGAAGACGCAGCTTGGAGCGCATTCTCATACCGTCCACCTTGGGCGTTGACCTGAGCGCCCTTCTCCAGCAGGAGCTGTACAATCTTATCGTGTCCTTCCAAAGACGAAGATTGAAGAGCATTCCCATACTCTCCACCTTAGGCGTTGACCTCAGCGCCCTTCTCTAGCAGGAGCTGCACAATCTTATCATGTCCTCTCGAAGAAGCAGCTTGGAGCGCATTCTCATACCGTCCACCTTGGGCGTTAACCTGAGCGCCCTTCTCCAGCAGGAGCTGTACAATCTTATCATGTCCTTCCAAAGACGCAGATTGGAGAGCATTCCCATAGTGTCCACCTTGGGCGTTGACCTCGGCGCCCTTCTCCAGCAGGAGCTGCACAATCTTATCGTGTCCTCTCGAAGACGCAGCTTGGAGCGCATTCTCATACCATCCACCTTGGGCGTTGACCTCAGCGCCCTTCTCCAGCAGGAGCTGCACAATCTTATCGTGTCCTCTCGAAGACGCAGCTTGGAGAGCATTCCCATACAGTCCACCTTGAGCGTTGACGTCAGCGCCCTTCTCCTGTAGCGACTGCACGACCTTCTCATAACCATTCTGAGAGGCCGAGATAATGGGATAGGTTCCAGTGCTATCGGTCGAATTAATGTCCTTTCCACCAAGAGAAAGCAAAAACTCAACCTCCCGCTCATGCCCGTTAAATGACGCCAGATGTAAAGCAGTCATCGACGGCGGTTTCCCGTAAATTGCGATAGCCTTCCAAAACAGAGGGAACCATAATGAAAACCTATTCCCACTCATCTCATACATTTGCTGAACTTGGCCGGTTGCTTTTTAGTCTTGGGTTAGACTTATCTTCCGTTTGTGGTCCGGCCAATATACTGCTGAATACTCTAAAAAGCTCCGAATGTTAGAGTTTGAATCCTTATTGTCATCTTCCAGATCCTTCATCTGTAGATATCGTAAACAGATAACAGCCATTTGATCCTCGGTGTCAGTCAAGCTCCACGAGAATAAGTAGTTAATAGTATTGGAACTACTCTTCTTCACAAGAAATTCTCTGGCTGTCTGATGAATCAGGTAGATCTTGGAGTTGTTAACGAAAACAAATAGACCACATATTTAACGCAGCTTTTCGTCGATTTGGGATAGTTTAATTCCAGCTTATGCAGCAGTTTGGGCTTGTGGAGAGGTGGCAATACCGAGCGCCATGGCCATTTCCGCTGTTATTAAAGGGCGCCGTGCTGCGACGATGATTTGTAAGATCTTCCTCGCAACATTCACTTGACGGGAGGGCACTCGACTAAGGATCTTCTCATATGCCTCATCTACCGATTGAGGGATCACCTCGATAGACTCTCCGATTGACTCTTCAGCCGGGCGAAGACTGTCCTCGAGTCTAGATTAAATATCGTCCATTGCTAAATGTAGCCAGAGATACGTACGGTGCTCCATTTACAGAAGCTGTAGCTCGAGTCGCTGCTCTGTGTCCTACGACAGCGCCGCTCTTTCGGCGAGGTCCTTTACTCGCATTTTCACGACAAGATCGATTTCTTGGTGGATCTGATCATTTTCTTGCTCTCCTTTCAAATGAACATGTGGGAAAGAGCCCGTGATCACTCGAAAACTATTCTGGATATCATCATAGGGACGACTCGTGACAAGAAATTTCAGCCAGGTATCCTGTATCTGCGGATGTGGCAGGCGGTGAAATGATTGGAGCTTCTTAATTAGTCGATTCTGATCAACCTCACGGCATTCATCAAGCGCATCGAAAATGCAGATTGTCTTGCAAAATTCATCAGATAATGCGGCGATTGTAAAAATCCTCCACAGTTTGTCAACCTCTTGTCGGAGCTTCTCCCCATTTTCCCCCTAAGATGGTATAGCATGACGCAAGAGCTGAGGCCGCTGGCTAAAAAGCTGGTGGAGTACCGAGCAAAGTGCTAAAGCAAGATGATTCTGTTCATCGTTATCTTTGAAGAAAAAGTAACAGATTGTCACTTCTGGGCTAGAAATTTCGCAGAAGTCATCGATTATCGATCGGGAAAGTACAGACTTCCCACAGCCTGGGTCGGCCGACACCTAGAGAAGATCGTTGCAGCTGCTCTCCGACCAACGGATATATTCAGCGCTCTGTAAAGCCTATAGGTAAGTCCCCTCTACTTTTCTCGGATTGATGTTCTTCTGCTCCTCGTAATTTGATACCTTGAATGTTTGGAGACAACGGTTTTGCTGATCCGTTAAAGCAAACGCAACCTTCTCACGATGATGTTGTTCTTGTTGATTGTATGCTAAATCTAAGCGTTGATTTGTGCCTTTGATTTCGACTTTCAGGTCGTCTACAGAGAGCCATATGAGTAAGCCACTCTTAATTCAGAACTAACTGAGCTAGGATTGATTTCACTTACTGTATGTATCTACTATCAAGCTCTCTTGCGAAACGTGACCAGCAGGGATATAGCCCAGTAACTCCTTTGTATATGCTGCGGCTGCTAGGGCAGCATATCCTTGCCATTGCTTGTTCTTGTGTGAGTCGGCATAATCACACACACCGCGGATGACAATGCAGGGGAAGTCTAACATCAAACCAGCTGCCTCTATCTCGAAGCATAATGCTCCAGTCTGTAAACGAAGTTGCTCTCTTGTTTGCCCGTGCTTAATGACCTTATTACCAGAAGCAATGATACCATAATGGGGCTGTGGATCGTTGTCCTCGCGTTTATCTCTGGTCTCTTCCTACTCCGCTAGACATCCGTTACAGCTGCTCGAACTAGCAGGATGATCATGGATGGCCTGAAAGAGTCGATCGGAATTTGCAGTAGGCCTGCCAAAACTCTTCCGAGTTCGAGCGGTTCTTCCGCTTGCGTTTCGGAGATATTCCGGGTACTGGGGATTATCTGTCAGCCCGGCAGTTCTCATCATGCCAGCTGCAGTCAAAAGCGCCTTCGGGGGACTGTTCAGCGAGCCAGTACGCTCAAATTCACCATCTGCGATAATCTTGCCCGTATCGTATTGAATCACCCCACCGCAAGTGCCTTCGGGACAGCTAATGACGATATCGCCGAGACGGATATCATGAGCAGCTGAAGGGATTCCACCTCTAATACCGACCATCAGTCCGATTCGAAGTGATTTGGAGAAGGTGCGAAGCATGTTATTTGCGACCGTGGTAGCAGAGGTGGTTCCGTACTGGCCTCCAGGGAGGCAGGCGATCACGACGTAATGTTTGCCGATTCGGCCCAACGTATAGGTATTCGAGTCCGCTGCATCTTGCTCCTCGAGAATCCCAAACTTCTCATCTAGCATTTCGATAGCAGCTGCAGCTTCGATCGGAAGGGCACAGATCCAGCCGATTTGGAAGGCATCTCGTGGGGGACGGGCCATGTGGAAGGTCTAGCGTCGTTTCGTGAAAAGAACGATCCTCTGACGAAAATATGAGGAGAAGTTAGAGAGCAACTAATGTTGACGGGTCGCCTACTTGACTATCAGGAGAATAGAGCCCCATTGCGAGGCAGAAAGCAGGAACCCCGCCGCCAGCGGTAGAGGCTCAGCCCAGGCTGAGGGAGCAGCATAGCGCGGCAAGAGAGCGAATGCTATTGGAGAAAGCGATCAGCCTGTAGTTTGGGAGCTGCACGTGACAACGTGGTCCGTGCTCGACTGAAGTGGCACGCAAGGCTGAGCCCCGTCAGCACTGGTGGCTGCAGCCCCGCTGGGTAGATATGGCACCAAAGCTTGAACCATGGCGACTTGATCTTATTCGTGATATAATACAAGACTCTAAACCGTATACTAACGCGGAAATAGCCAAAGCTGCCCATTGCACCCCACGATCTATCAGCGCCGCCCGCTCGAACCTACGGTGCTTTGGAAATGTTAGGGCCCCTCCCAACGGTATTGGACGACGACGAACGATTACCCCACCGATGCTTGAAGCTCTTTGTGAGCGTCTTCTCGAGAAGCCGGATCTATATCAGGATGAGATGGTGATCTTCTTGTGGGATGAGTTTCGCATCCTGGTGACTATATATAGCATTGGCAGAGCGCTCGCATCAGTCGGATGGTCTAAGAAAGCTGCAAGGCGGATAGCGAGAGGACGGAACATTGAACTTCGGGACTTCTACCTTCACACCATCTCCTCTTTCCGATCCTATCACCTGGTTTATGTGGATGAGTCGGGCTGTGATAAACGGGCGGGTTTCAGACGGACCGGGTGGTCTCCACTGGGAGTGACACCCGTCCAGATTTCTCAATTTCATCGTGGACAGCGGTACCAGATACTTCCCGCATATGCCCAGGATGGAGTCGTCTTTGCACGAGTCTTCCAAGGATCGACAGATGCCGTTGTATTTGAGGATTTTATACGGCAACTTCTACATCACTGTGGGAAGTGGCCAGAACCGAAATCCGTTCTTGTCATGGACAATGCCTCTTTCCATCGTACGGAGGGTATTCGGCAAATTTGTTCCGCAGCCGGGGTCAAATTGGTGTATTTACCACCCTACTCTCCAGATCTAAACCCTATTGAGGAGTTCTTTGCTGAGCTGAAGGCTTTCATTAAACGACATTGGCTGACGTATGAAGAGAATCCGGGTCAGGGTTTCAGTACCTACCTCGAATGGTGTGTTGATGTAGTCGGGGCAAGGGAGAAAAGCGCGAAAGGCCATTTCCGACATGCGGGCTGGAACATCGAAGAACCATGACAATCGAATATATATATTTTCCATTTTATAGTCTATCCTCTATGTTGCACTTATAATGCTCGACCCAATACTTAATGTCCCCAACAAAACGACGAGCAATACCTCTTTTGATGCCATTCTTGATGAAAAATCCTGGATCCTGATCCTTGTGGATCTGCACGAGATCCAGTCCATCTTCGAGGGCAGTATCGCGAGCGTTCCGAAACTCTTCTTTTAGTTTCTCATCATTTACTTGGGATTGCTGCCATTCACTATATTCAGCAACAGCAATGTCCCGTAGACCAGGGATTTCGAGGAAATCTGGAGGCGTTTTTCCTGGACACGAAATCGGCATCGGAGTCGGTGTAGTTGGCACAGAGGGAGGAGAAGCCTGCGCAGGAAGAACGTTGGTGATGTTGATAGGGGGGTAACCATTGGTGGACTGAGTGCCTCCCTTTTGCCTCTCAAGTCGCTGCTGCTCCTGTATATATAGCTTTTCACGAATTGATTCAGGGACGTCGTCGTGGGTTTTCAACCGATCACTTTCCTCCGCGTAGCTCACAAGGGCCCTCAGATTCTGTACTGTCAGCTTGATATGCTTCTTGCTTAAAGGATCACGCCAGCAATGCGGTCCCAGCTCACATGCTGCACTGGAGCACCGCATCAGACTGTACACCCGGTCCCAAGTAGGAGGTTGCCCAGTGGCCTGTTCTTCTGTATGGATATTTGCTTGCCGCTCAAGCAACATAAGCTGGGTAGCAGATGAGGCCCCTCTTTTATCTGTCCCTCTTGGATTGGGCCTTGGAACGTGATTGCCCTCGGTATAGTTGAACGACATATTCAGTGTTAGTTTTTTCCCAGCACGGAAAAGATCACCCCACACGAAAAGCTGTTTCTCCACAGCGGGCCAATCCACTTCTGTTTTGTCACAGGAGAGAGTGAGGTCTGGCTGATTACGATGGTTCACCGATACAACGATGGTTGTATCATCTAATTCAACACTTTTCTGTGCAAACTTCTTGCCTACAACTTCCTTTAACTTGGGCCCCAAAAAAAGACGCCAGTGAAATCGCGGAGCCAACACCAGGTCTTGCTCTGTGCTTTTCCAGATAGATTTGTTGTTGTTGAGAGTCATCTTCCACACAATCGAATAGTGAATACAGGTGGGTGGAAGCTCATCGTACAACCGTCCTTCTTCCCACTCACCCAGCTGAAGTAATGGAATCTGGTTTGTTTGCGGCGATCGGTGCTGCGGGGAAAAGTCGTCATCTGGGCGGTCTTCCGGGCTAATGATACTCATCACAGAGGGTGTCTGGCAGATGCCATATCCGGGGGTCGGGGCATATTCTGGGGTCAGGGCAAAGAGCGATGATTGGCCGGGTTGGTCATACGAATCAAATAGCAGTGGGTCATTCTGAGTGTTGAATGGGCTACGCATATTTGTGCAGCTATTCAGCCAATTATTAACATCATTGTACATTGAGAGGCTTTAGGGAGGGAAATTTCGCTTTGCTTGATACTCGTTGATTCTTACCAGGAGAAAGCAGCCGCTGAGAAGAGAGCACAGGCAAACAAGAAACTCTGTGGAGTAAGCAGCATCTGGTGATAGCGTTGGTAGGTTATACAAGCATTCTCTTTGGTCTGATCGGTGATGACGGAGCGATGTGAGAAGTGATGAGGTTGGGACCTCCGGAGTGCAGGCAGAGCGGTGTTTGCCTTGTTTGCACGTAGATCTTCCTGGTTCCAAGATCTTCCATAAGATGATCGACCACTATTCCTGATTAGGAATAGATGTAAGCATCTAATATTGAGGCCCTCGCAAATCTGCGCTTCCCCGGTACACAGAAAAAGAGAAAAGAAATTTTGATTGAGATCAAAACGACAAGGCTGAAATAATGTAGGTAATAAAAATCATCTCATTAATTCCCGTGTTGATTTTAATACAAATGGATAATGTATGGATGAGTCTTTCAACAGTTCCGCACTCAGTAAGTTGAGGGCCGCGCGATGGGTCTTTAGAAGCCAATTATTCTACACTACGCGTTGCCACGTGATAAATACGATTCCAAAGGACATACGAATTAAATACTGTAAATTGGAAAATATAGTGCATTGCGCACGTAGATGCGCCAGACGCAGTCATTGAGTAATTCAATATCATAAATCTAGTATTTAATACCACACGATACCAAAGGCTGTCATTCCAGTACGAGTTCGCGCGTAATAGAGTTTCACGCTAGTCCCTTGGCAGTGGGGCCCGAGAAAAGAAAAGCAGCCATCAGGGTAGAAGCCGTTTTCGCTATCGACTGTATAAAGATGGGTATTGCTCGACGGTTCGTACAAGACATTCAGCGCTGGGTCGAGAGCGTGAAGAAAGCGATCCCTATTTATGAACTAATTTAGCATGAGTAAGGTGGGCGTTTGGGTGGCGTCGTCATTTTTGTGTTTAGTTGATAGCGTTAGAAAATGCGGCCCTTAGCTGCTTTAATTGGAATTAACTCCTTATATTCCTCAATTTTGTTCTCAAGGTGTGCAAATCGGCCCATTTAATTTTGAGTGTGCTTAGGGAAAATTAAATAACCGTAACGCATTCAATCAAAATTATGTCGCAGGCATCTTTATGTACCTGGGCTAAAGGTGGGGTACAAGGTCAACAATCAACCAACACCACCCCCAATACTTCCACCCCCAGTGCAAACGTTCAGGATATCAATCAAAAACTGTTCAGGTTACATACGTAGCTTCACCTCATCAACGCCATGTTCAAGTCACACATTTTCGGTATTGCAGCAAAGGGTTTGACCCTTACACGAGCTGCCCACTACAGAACCGGTCAACGCCGCCTAAATTAAATATCGTGGTGGAAAAATATGAGGGTATTGCGTACTCTCACACATCCCACTCCGATATCAACGGTTTTCCCTAATACATTGACAGGAACAGAAGCTGGCAGCATTTTGGCGTCTGGTTGCCACTGGAACATGTAATGGAGGTTTGTCTGTCGGTGAGCGGAGACGCGAGAGCACCGACCGCCGCTGCAAGAATAATACTTTCCAGTCTCATTTTGGAAGATGGAAGGTCGTGGATATTAACGAGCTGAGCAGGTACATAAAAGTATTCTTTACATATAAGGTAGCTATTGTGGCAGCTTGCCCAATAAATATTCCAAAGTGCTTTTGATCGCTTGATCTAGATTTTGCGTTTCTGTAGATCACGAAGACATGGAATATGGGTATAGCTGATTTAAACTATACGAACCACATGGCCGAATGTTGGTCAAACGAGAAGCTGGTGACCTTATGAAACTCTCCCGCTTTAGGATACTTTTAGTGGAGCCATGATAAAATCAGACCAATAGTCAACAGGGTATATACTGTAGTCGGACCGCAACTTACTGTTGCAGGCCAAATGAATGATCTGCGCTAAGGTCTTGGCAGTGGGGCCGAGAAAGAGACTCTCAGTGTGTACTGGTCAAGGCAGTTTCGAAAATCCCTGTATGGTATAGTAACATGTGGACTGCCCGCCAATCTGATTCCCCGTCCTAGCGCCGCGAAATCACCTGATGATGAAGTTGAGGAACTGCCCCTCTTTCAGCTGGGAGTCAGACAACGGCCCTTCGATTGAAATTCACACGGTGTACAGTAACTTGATCATGGCATCGACAACTTACTCTGGCGTCAACTATGGGGCACAAGTGGGGACTAACACTGGAACATTCACGGCAGAATTCCATCTGCCGCCGGGTAAGTCAAAAGGAACTTGACTTGTGTCATGTCGACTTACTAACCACCGCTTCCCACCCCAGAGCGACCGGAGACTCCTCCTAGCCCTTTATCAACTGTCCCATTCCCGCGCGATCTAGACTTTGTCAGTCGCAACACTTTGCTTCATTGGATTCACGAGAAAAGCTCCGTGCCAGGGTCGAGAATAGCGCTGGTCGGGCTCGGCGGTGTCGGGTGAGTGTAGTGCGACCGGTACATGGTGTATTGCTCACGACTCGAAGGAAATCGCAGCTTGCCATCGAATACTCTTACCGGGTCCGATCCGAATCGCCGACGACCTGGGTTTTCTGGGTCCATGCGAGTAACGCAGCCCGGTTTGAGCAAAGTTTCCGGAACATCGCGGATCAGGTTAAAATTCCGGGTCGTCAGGAGTCTAAAGTCAACATACTCGAATTGGTCGAGAACTGGCTACGGGATGAGAAGAAAGGAAAATGGGTTTGTATCCTTGACAATGTCGATGACGATAAATTCCTTTGCTCGTTTCCCGCAGCAGGCAAGGAAGACCCGACGAAAGGCCCAACGAATGCCTCGACGAAACCGCTATTAGAATACGTCCCTAGAAGCCGAAATGGATCTACTATTATCACGAGTCGGACGAGAGAGGTTGCGTTGAAAATGGTCGATCGCAAGGACATTATTGAAGTTAAACCGATGAAAAGCTCCGAGGCGCTAGAGCTTCTCCAAAGAAAGCTTCAACAAGGAGGGGAGAGCCAGGAGAGTCGACAGTTAGTGGACACGTTGGAGTCTATGCCGCTAGCGATCGTACAGGCCGCTAGCTATATTCAAAATCGGGCGCCTCGCTATTCGGTATCACAATATCTAAGAGACTTCCAGGGAAGTGACCGGGAAGCGACAAGGCTTCTGAAAAAAGAAGCCGGGCACCTTTACCGTGACTGGGAAGCGAAGAATTCAATTCTGGTGACGTGGCAAATATCATTCGACTATATTCGCCACACAAAGCCATCTGCAGCGGAACTGCTTTCTCTCATGAGCTTTTTCGATCGACATGGGATACCAGAGAAGCTTATCCGGCTCCATCCTGTGGCCAACTGCACCTCAAAGTCGGAGCTTTTAGATAACTCCAGTGACAGGGAGACATCTGAATCTGATATAGGCCCAGTTTTCGAAGACGATATCATAACGCTAAGGGATTATTCATTCATATCTATTAGCGAGAACGGCACTTTCTTCACGATGCATCGGCTAGTGCAGCTGGCCACGCACGCCTGGCTGAAATCCTATGGATAAATAGACCAGTGGAGGGATATGTTCGTTAGTAATTTGTGCGAAGAATTCCCAAGCGGTCAATACGGAAACTGGGAGCGATGTCGGTCGCTTTTTCCTCACGTTAAATCAGCAATGTCGCAGCGGCCAGCATCGTTTCAATCTCTACGATAATGGGCTACATTACTTTTCAGAGGTTCGTGGTATGCGTGGCAAAGCGGTAATATCGCAGATGTAAAAGAAATGGCGTCAAGATCAAGAAATGTAAGGGAGACCATGTTAGGTGAAGACCATGAAGAAGTCCTTGAAAGCACAGCAATGTTGGCAACAGCATACTGGCTTGAGGGCCGGTGGGAAGAGGCCGAGCAGCTCCAGGTGCAGGTGATGGAGACTCACAAGAGGAAGCTCGGCAAGGATCATCCCGACACGATGACTAGTATGGCCAACCTGGCCCTGACGTATTGGGAACGGGGCCGGTGGGAAGAGGCCGAGCAGCTCCAGGTGCAGGTGACGGAAACGAGCAAGATAAAGCTCGGCGAGGATCATCCCAACACGCTGACGAGTATGGCCAACCTGGCATCGACGTACCGGGACCAGGGCCGGTGGGAAGAGGCTAGGAAACTCGAGGTGCAGGTGATGGATATCTGCACTATAAAGCTCGGCAAGGGTCATCCCGACACATTAGCGAGTATGGACAACCTAGCATTGACTTATTCGAACCAGGGCCGGTGGGAGGAGGCTGAGAAACTCGAGGTGCAGGTGATTGAGACCCGCACCAAGAAGCTCGGCGAGGATCATCCGTACACATTGACGAGTATAGACAACCTAGCAGGGATGTATTGGGGCCAGGGCCGGTGGGAAGAGGCCGAGCAACTCTTTATGTAGGTGGTAGAGTCTCGAAAGGCGAAACTCGGCGAGGATCATCCCGACACGCTCACTAGTATGGGCAATCTGGCAACGACTTATTCGAACCAGGGCCGATGGGAAGAGGCCGAGAAACTCAATATACAGGCGATGGAGATTCGCAATACTAAGCTCGGCGAGGATCATCCCGCCACACTGACGAGTATGGCCAATCTGGCAGCGACGTATTACGAACAGGGCCGTTGGGAAGAGGCCGAGAAACTCAATATACAGGTGATAGAGACTCGCAAGACGAAGCTCGGCGAGGATCATCCCGACACGCTCACGAGTATGGCTAACCTAGCAATAACGTATTGGGACCAGGGCCGGTGGGAAGAGGCCGAGCAGCTCGACGTGCAGGTGATGGAGACTCGCAAGACAAAGCTCAGCGAGGACCATCCCGACACGCTGTCGAGTATGGCCAATCTAGCATCGACGTACCGGAACCAGGGCCGGTGGGAAGAGGCCGAGCAGCTCAACGTGCAGGTGATAGAGACTCGCAAGACGAAGCTCGGCGAGGATCATCCCGACACGCTGTCGAGTATGGCCAATCTAGCATCGACGTACCGGAACCAGGGCCGGTAGGAAGAGGCTAGGAAACTCGAGGTGCAGGTGATAGATATCCGCACTACAAAGCTCGGCAAGGGTCATCCCGATACGCTGGCGGGTATAGGCAACCTAGCATTGACTTATTCGAACCAGGGCCGGTAGGAAGAGGCTGAGAAACTCGGGATACAGGTAATGGAGACCCGCACCAAGAAGCTCGGCGAGGATCATCCGCACACATTGACGAGTATGGACAACCTAGCAGGGATGTATTAGGGCCAGGGCCGGTGGGAAGAGGCCGAGCAACTCTTTATGTAGGTAGTAGAGTCTCGAAAGGCGAAGCTCGGCGAGGATCATCCCGACACACTCACTAGTATAGGCAACCTAGCAACGACTTATTCGAACCAGGGCCGATAGGAAGAGGCCGAGAAACTCAATATACAGGTGATAGAGACTCGCAAGACGAAGCTCGGCGAGGATCATCCCGACACGCTCACGAGTATAGCTAACCTAGCAATAACGTATTTCAAACAGGGCCAGTGGGAAGAGGCTGAGAAGCTGGATAGGCGGGTGATAGAGACTCGCAAGACGAAGCTCGGCGAGCACCATCCCGACACGATTTCGAGCATGGCCAAGCTGGCAATGACGTATTGGGACCAGGGCCGGTGGGAAGAGGCCGAGCAGCTCGAGGTGCAGGTGATGGAGGCTCTTAAGACGAAGTTTGGCATGGACCATCCCGACACGCTGATGAGCATGGCCAACCTGGCATTGACGTACTGGAACATGGGCCGGTGGAAAGAGGCCGAGCAGCTCGGGCTGCAGGTGATGGAGACTCGCGAGACGGAGCTCGGCGCGGACCATCCTGACACATTGGCGAGTATGAGCAAACTGGCAGCGATGTACCAGCAGCGGGGCAGGTGGGAGGAGGCCGAGCAACTCCAGATGCAGGTGATAGAGATTCGCAGGGCGAAGCTCGGGGAGGATCATCCCGGCACACTGGCAAGCACGGCCTGGCATCAAAGGACGGGGACTACGGCCCGTGGGAATATGGCAGACCCTTCTTTGCGCAGGTGGTGGAGACGCATAACAAGAAGCTCGGTGAAGTCCACCCTTCCACACTGACGAGTATGGCCAACCTCTCCGTTACCTGGAAACTTTCAGGTAACCATGCCGATTCCCTCAGTTTACTACGACACTGACTGGCAAACAGAAAGGAAATATTAGGGCTAGAACACTCGCTCACTTTATCTAATTCTGGAGCGTTCCCGGAATAAGAAACAGAAGCTAGATATGAATGCCTATATAAGCTAGATACTGGAAATTCTGGAATTACATAGTAACTTCAACTTCGTGCTTTAACTGCTCGGACGATCCTTCCACCATGGATTGACTTAGTGCACACTACTGTACGCGCAAATGTTTGACCTTACCAGTTTGACGGAAAACTGCTGCTAAGGCTGACGGTGATGATGGAAAGAGGTCACGAGCGAGCCATGAGGGGTAACGAGGTGGCAGTATTTATGGTACAAGTATTTCATGTAATTTATAAGGCTCAATCTCACATAATCTCTTTCGATACGATTCGACTCCTGAAATAGGGCTAGTCCAGATAAAGATTAGTTTGTTTCTGAGCAGGGTTCAAGAAAGAATCAAAGAGAATACATAGGTGAAACTGATTTCGAACCATCCTGTAACACAAATGCAATTCTCCAAGCAGCCACTGAGGTTCAAGCAAAACACATAACGCTCCGCCTCCAGTGGATGCCAGGACACTGTGAAAACGCTGGCAACGACACAGCAGACCGACTCGCCAAGGATGCCGCGCACCCGGGCAAAACCCACACCTTCCGACCGCTGCTGTCGAGAGAGAACGCTTTCATCCGCGATAGAATCCATGCTCAATGGAGGCAAGAGTGGAAGTCGAGCATCAAAGGCTTGCATCTACGGAAGATTGACGATACCCTTCCGGCGCGTTACACCAGGAAACTATATGGAAATCTACCGCGGAACAGCGCGTATCTGCTGACACAGCTACGCACGGGCCACAATTGGGTATCCAGCTACCGCAAGGAGATTGGCTACAGTGATGATGATCGCTGCGAATGTGGCGCGCAGGAAACAGTCGCCCACGTCTTGATGCAATGCCCAAGGCTACGAGAACTGCGGGTGGAATTGAGAAGACAAGTCGAGGACGCGCTCAACAGCGTGTCGAGTCTGCAGGGAGGCTCAAACGAAGGTGAGAAAGGTAAACCAGACACCGTCTCGCGAGCGAAGACAGTACAGGCGGTGCTGGACTTCGCCGAGGCGTCACAGCGGTTTCGCAGTCGTGCGCCATGAGGGGCAGCCTAACAATAGGAACGGCAATTGGCCACGATAGGCCGTGACGAGGCTCTAAGTTCATGTCAGGAAGTGGATCATTCTAAATGTACACACTCGGATATATAGTTGTCGTATACTGCATATCGCTTTGGCGAGAGGTCAGTGTAAATGATATCACACACACACACACTCCTGTAACACAAACAGTTTTTGATTGATATTCTGAACGTTTGCATTAAGCCAAGTGGAGGAGGCAAGTGGCACTACTGGTGAGGCTTGATAAGCAGTTTTCTTCTGTCAACGAAAAAGTCCGATCTAAGTTTAGCAAAATTCTATCTTCAAGCCTGAGTGTCGAAAGTGACCCCTAGCACTCTCTTTCTTTGCACCGACCGTGTCAATACACCATACGAGGAACACATCAAAACTTTGATCAGGATCCACTTCGTAGTAACTCCAGTTACGTTTGATAAAGCTTTTCAGTTCAGCAAAAAACTCCTCGATCGGATTCAAGTCCGGCGAGTAGGGTGGCAGATATACCAGTTTCACCCCCGCGTCCGCGCACATCTGCGAGACCCGCTCTGAATAATGGAATGACGCATTATCCATAACCACAACAGATTTAGGCTCGGGCCATCGTCCGCAGTGCTGAAGAAGCTGAGCTAAAAAGTCTTCGAAGACTGCGCCGTCGGTTGCACCGCGAAATACACGCGAGAGGACGATCCCGTCCTGCGCATATGCAGGTAGAATCTGATATCGCTGATCGCGATGGAACTGCGACACCTGCAAAGGGGCCACGCCAAGTGGTGACCAGCCTGTCCGCCTAAACCCAGCCCTCTTATCACATCCAGATTCATCCACATAAACTAGATGATACGACTGAAAATCCGACAAATTATGGAGATAAAGTTCTCGTAAATCGGCATTACGCTCCTTTGCATGCTGCCGGGCCGTCTTTTTAGACCAACCTTTGGCCACCAGGGCTCTTCTGATGCTAGAGGTTGTGATCATCGTGCGAAACTCGTCCCAGAGGAAGATAGCCATCTCATCGAGGTACAGGCCCGGTTTTTCCGACAGGTGGTCGCAGAGCGCGTCGATCATTAGCGGTGTTACGGTTGATTTCCGACCTATGCGTGTTGGGGGTGCGTGGACGCTGCCAAATTGCCGCAAGTTTCTGCGAATATTTATGATCGTGACCTTGCTGCACTCAGCCTCTTCTGCCATTTGAGTAGTGGTTAGTGACTGGCTCTCTACCATGTCTCGGATGAGATGCAACTTGGAGGAGGGGAGTCTCGGGGCCATATTGTAAGTTAAGTGTAGGATGTCGCTCAAGAATTATTTGCAGGGAGAGATTACTGTTGCTTAAGGGGAGGAGGGGTAGAGTGGTATCGATGCATAGCAGTTTCCTGTAATTTACAAAGGAGAAGGTCCCATCCGCGTCATGTAAAATACAGTTTCTATTCTAGGAACAAGGGGGATCGACGGATATACCCAATATGGGTTAGCGTGTTTCAAATTATTTGGGAGTTAAAGTCGAAGAGTGTGGAGGTAAATCTGATTTCGAATATTACTGTATTTGGTTTCCTCTTTGGCCCATTGTGCTTCAGTGGCTATCGTAGGAACCTGAATCCGGTAGGCTTGGGTTTTGCCGGGGCTTGATTAGTTAAATGAAGTGTGAGCTCAAAGCAGCCGAAGTCGATGATCAAGTGGCAAGTCTTCTGAAAGAAATCAGTTGGCCATTTAAACCTCGATTGGGTCAATCTATGTGGACCCACTGAGCACCATGCGGTGTTTGCGGCAGAATTCGCTCTCCCAGGAGCAATAGTTGAAGCTCCTAGGGCCGTTCACCGTAGTTCCGAGGACCATTTGCCTCAACCCTGCCTGTCACGCTAAGGCCCCACAGAGCATATTATAGAAAATTATTTCCAGGCGTTATGGCCAAAAGCGCTCCGGCTCGCTACCAATGCCGTAATCACTAGTCACGCAAAAGTCACCCGTACGATGAATTGAGCATAGATTCGTGTTCGTGAGCCTGAGGCTATCCGCCGAGCCTGCTAATAAGTTGGATAATATGTATAGATCTTACTAGTCAACTAGTCTAGAAAGGACGATTTTCGCGACTACGAGACGTGGAATGATGTGTAAGTGTCCTTAAGGGAGCCTGGCGTGACTATCAATCTACCAAGACTAAGATCATGAGAGAAAGCGGCAAGAGAAGCGCCTAATACATAACAATAGAGGCAGAATCTAGGTCTTTTAATCAACGCTATTTAATGGAAACTTGCTCTTCTAAATTGATCTTAGTAAGCGGTAACCAAGCCAACTCATCGGAAAGAAATCAAGTCGATCGCAAATCAGATTCTTGTTCTCGTTGTATATGTATAACCTCTTGTCCCCCTCTAGTAAGTAGCAGCCATCTCCATTAATTCTCAATGGTATAATACAATACCTCCCCATACAAAGATCGGGCGTATCACATCTACATGTGAAGCTGGTGAAGAGAAAGTGGTAAACCCTATCGGACTTCCTAAGGTCTTTGTTACAAAATAATTGATCAAAATTGAGTGTTGATAGTCCTAAATACCGAGCGGAATGCAGAAATTCCGTTACAGAAGACAGTAGACAACCTCAGCTCATCCAACAGACTATCGCTGCAAACACAACTTAGTTATTTCCAAATTTTTTCAACGCATCTTTCACATGTCATCGTTGAAATCTAGGCTAAGGGTGTTGGAAGACGAATTTCAGCACCAATAATCGTACATAAACATCACAATTTTTCACCATTCGCGGTTAGAGGGTCCACATCAGTCCACATCATTCCCTTCCATTAATTAACAAGATAGTTTTTGCATGATATAAATTTCGTGAAATGAGAAGCATCACAAAATAAAATCTGGAAGAAGTCTCGAAGATATTACAGCCACTCATATTCTACAACCACTCCAGCATTCTCAGCTTGGTGGGATTTATACCTGCGTGTCTCAAGGATTAAACTAGTACGCCGACTGAGCACAACTCGAAATGGACTATAATAAAAACAAGATCCTAATGCTTCATGGTATAGCCCCACGTCAAGACACCAAGATTTATGCTGCCATAGATGTTAATACTTACCTTAGGACACGGGCAGTCCATTGAAGTGTTCAAACCCAAAACCCGCTCTGTCCAGCAAGCTTTCTGCACATTCTCAAACGGAATGGATTTTGAGTTTGAATTTTTGTCCGGCACATTTCCAGCCTATCCCGACGACGAGGATAAAGATCACCAGAGAGTCTGGGGCTATGGGGAGCCCGATGATAAGATTCGGGGGTTAGAAACATCAATTGGGTGTATTCTGGATGCTCTCGATAAGAAGGGCCCTTTTATCGGCATAGTGGGCTTTTCATCAGGAGCCGCCATGGCTGCTATAATAACATCGATCTTGGAGAAGACAGAGAGAGGCGATATTTCTCCCTGGAAGGTGATCACGAGCACCCTCAGCCGAAGTCAATTTGACTCGACCACATTGCTTACGTGTCTTTTCAGGTACACCATCAGAAACTCCACTTCGCAGTATGCCTTAGTGGCTTCAGATTAGACAAGGGGTGCTACGAAACATTCTATTCTCCGAATATTGAGACTCCAGTATTTCACACGATCGGCGAGCTAGATTCGATGATCTCATCCACTCAAACAGAAAATCTTATGCGGTGCTGCAAGAGGCCATGGCTTTTCGAATTCTTTGGCGGGCATTACGTACCACAGAGCAAGGAATTCTTAGAATTCAGTCAATCCCTCGCATCGTTTCTTAGAGGTGCACTGCGGCATTCGTTGAACAGTCAGGCCACCTCGAGCATTTCGTCCTTCTAGTATTGTGTACAAACTAGCTAAAAATCTGTGATTATATCTACGTCTTAATGACAGACTGATATGACAATACTAGCATATGTAATTGAATGCCCATATAGTTCCCTTGCTACGAGCATCATCAATTTTGAGTAATGTCCATGTCTTTTTTGCTGGAGGGTGACATCCCAAGTTGGTAACAACTCTTTTGTGAAATGGATAACAGATAAATCGACTGGCCTAGTACCGAGATTTATGAGATTTAAAGTCTCCTCCTCAAAACCACCACTTACACCGTTCGACTATTTTACGAGTTTTCATCTCATACTAGGCTACAGATACTCAAGTTCAATTTATTTGATGAGAGGCCTAGTACACTTGCTAGATACGCATCTAGTTGCCTCGACTCTGCAGAGAGGCTCAACTGAAGGTAGAGCCGTGTCGGATATTGGTCGAGTTTCATAGTAGTCTTGAAGTCACGCATTGCGAAGTCGACTTGGCAATGGGGCGGAGTTGCTGTTACGCAACAATAGGTCTAGACGAGGCCTCCATTGCGTATTCGAAAAATGAGCTACTCCCAAATGCAAGATAGATATAGCCATAAAGTCTGTATACTAATTTGGCGAGTGGCCAGACAGAACGTAAGCCATAAACTCATACTTATCCATCCATCTTGTGTCTGTGAAAAAGGGAGGAGTTTTATTGGGGTTGCCTCACGTTGCCCATGCTGTCCCACACATCTACACCGACATTACGGAGGGCTTCTTCCTCCTACAACTGCCTCGCAAGAGTCAGTTGCTTGCCTCTGGTGGAAGCTCGTCATCTCTCACGCAGCCAAGACTCTATTTTGTCCCTCCCTCCTCCTCCCCTTTGTATATAGAAACTAGCACTGCAATACACAGACACATTGCCTCCCTACAAGGGAGTGCGGACGGGCCTTCTCTGACGCTACAGTCTAATGCGTTTACACATAAGACCGCAGCGACAGGTGAACCCGTTATGGCCAAACCTATACACGTTCCTATTCCCATATTGACTGCGAGAGGTCACCAATAAAATATCTTTTGAAGAGTGTAACATATCAGTGCCAAGAAATTTTATTTGAGTGAGTGCATTCATCCATTGATTGGTCCTCGATGGCAACCATTCATATAACTACTAACACAATGACAATTCCCGGAATCTCTTAGCAAAATGTACAATAAATCTGACTCAGGAAAGACGACATTGTAAGTATAAAATTACCTCGTGATGCTGACTCCACATTCCTCTCGTGCTGTACACGCCGAGTCTTGTCAACTCATTCACTGATCTTGATTTTGAGCTAATGTAAGTTTGCTCATAATTCTTAAAGAATCCCCCCTGAGAAAAAGTATCCAAGGGAAGGGCATGATGGCGACAGTGATAAACCCCAGTAGGCTAGAAGCCCATTCTATACCAAGATTTGTGTACACTTTCTCATTGTTAAACCTTATGATCATTGCCGGGGTAGACCACGCACATACTTTGGATTGTAAAAAGTGGAAATACAGCAGCCAAGCCATACCTCGCTAGGCTATTCGCACTCATCGCACTTGCCACGATAGAACCGTGGTATGTATCGACGATATATTGGGCGGAGCTGACGAAGACACACAGATTGCCCCATGCAAAAAGCATAATTGCAAGAATGGGGCTTGCCCACGAAATGTCCTGCCGAGCAGACCAGCCAAACCAAAAAAGACTCACAGGTATTGCTAGGCTGCCAATCAAAGAGGGGTACAAGCGGAATTCAGGGGGCACCTGCTGCCCACCGTAGCATAATGCTTTTCGACGGTACAACAGAATGTCACACAATAGCAATGTCAAAGTCCCAAGAAGGCATCCAACCACAATGGAAAGAAAAGCAAGCCCTGAGTCCTCTGTATCAAACATATAGACCTCTTGAAACACGAGAGGGACAGCGGCGAAAAGGGAAAAAAGAATGGCGAATCCGCACGCTGCATATAGACAGATGAAAGCCACAATAGGCTCAGCGACAAGCATGCGGATCGGAAGAAAGATAGACGATGTAGCGAAAAGCTTCAGTTTTGCCGAACTTGATAGTGGAGATGCAAGCGGCAAGTAGAAGTCTTCAGAATGTCGATGCATGATTGTGGTGTGAAATGTCTCTTTCGTGCCGATCATGGTAATGAGAGTCACGGATGCGGAAAACAGAATCGTCCATTGTGTCCATCGCCAGCCTAAATGAGACACTAGCAAGCTCCCAAGAACAGGACTAGAAGATCAGCATCAAATCACATTTGATGTTCAAGCATAGAAAGATAAAACCTACCCAAGCCCAGGGCCCAAAAAAGGCGTCAAAATACAAACAGTGGCGGGAATGGCCCTCTTTTCAGGCCTGAAAACTTCATTGACGGTTCCTGCAGCGACAGCCAAAGAAGGCGCGAAGCAAAACCCGGCGAGGAAACGTAGGATGCAGAGGGCTGAAAAAGAATGGCTGAAGCCAACGCCAATTGTAAAGAGACTTCCTAGAAGCGTGGACCCCAGATAAACTGGCAATCTCCCAAATGTCTCAGAAATCGGTCCTCCTAATACAGGGCCGAGCCCAAGCGCAAATGCATAGACCGATAGGGGAAGTATTGCGACGGTACTTCCAACGCCGAATTCCTCCATAAGTTGAGTCTGAGCTGGCGACATGATTGACACACCAATAGAGCTGTGTGACTAGTCAGCTATATGTGTTCTGAGGACAGGAAAGTTTGGCTTACGTCGTAAATGCTGCTGAAGCTACCATCAACACTTGATGAACCTTCCAGACTGTTGACCAATTGTACGGATTTCTGGGGTCGTCATCCCATATCCGTGCCTTCTTCTGCTCGGTCATTTCCTCGATTTGGCCAAGAGCTGATTCTTGCTTCTTGCTTTTGAGAGGCATTTTTAAGTCGAGTTTTTTCTGCTGAGAGCCCAAGATTTTTGAGAGTAAGCACTGCGATAGAAAGAATAAGAGCGAGTAACTGTGACGAAGAGCGCTGAAGACTATTTGGAACTGGCTCGGGAAACCGGCCTTCGTCAAATGACGAAGTGATAGAGTCACTGACTGTAGGTAAGCAGTTGGAGCAGAAATATGCGGCATTAGTAGAGATTTTATATATGAATTTCCGAAAATGTCTCGCGCGCCATATCGTTACGTTGGCCTACGACTATGGTATGAACTGTTGTCGGTGCACGCTAGTTATGTTTTGGTGAGTAGGCAGGCATTCAAGAGAAGGAACTGTAGATAAAAAAAGTGTGGAAAGCAGAGGGTGGTGAAAGAGAGGGTGGTGAAAGAGAGGGTGGTGAAAGAGAGGGTGGTGAAAGAGAGGGTGGTGAAAGAGAGGGTGGTGAAAGAGAGGGTGGTGAAAGAGAGGGTGGTGAAAGAGAGGGTGGTGAAAGAGAGGGTGGTGAAAGAGAGGGTGGTGAAAGAGAGGGTGGTGAAAGAGAGGGTGGTGAAAGAGAGGGTGGTGAAAGAGAGGGTGGTGAAAGAGAGGGTGGTGAAAGAGAGGGTGGTGAAAGAGAGGGTGGTGAAAGAGAGGGTGGTGAAAGAGAGGGTGGTGAAAGAGAGGGTGGTGAAAGAGAGGGTGGTGAAAGAGAGGGTGGTGAAAGAGAGGGTGGTGAAAGAGAGGGTGGTGAAAGAGAGGGTGGTGAAAGAGAGGGTGGTGAAAGAGAGGGTGGTGAAAGAGAGGGTGGTGAAAGAGAGGGTGGTGAAAGAGAGGGTGGTGAAAGAGAGGGTGGTGAAAGAGAGGGTGGTGAAAGAGAGGGTGGTGAAAGAGAGGGTGGTGAAAGAGAGGGTGGTGAAAGAGAGGGTGGTGAAAGAGAAGGTGGTGAAAGAGAGGGTGGCGGAAGAGAGGGCCGTTTAGCACATGTCGAGAATTTACTGGGTTAATAATCGGTGGATTACGTGTCTCGTCGTACAGTGTTTTGTATGTACATCACAAAGACATGTCATGCATAGCCCGGTCAGCTGTCGAGACGATTTAGTAATCATGGACTCGACGCTTTTAATTTTGAAGTGGTTTCATGAATGTGTCTCCGCCTTCGGGAAATGGATCATGTGATTGGGGAAAACTGTAAAGCACAGTCCAGGCCCTATTCGGCATTTTACATAGTAGTTTGTGAATTTCCCAGTGACCCCCATGAGCTGCCCACCACAATGGCGTTCTCTGATCGAAGTCGGCCGTGTGTAAATCAACTTTGGAGTGACTGAGAAAATTGAGACGATCTCAGCTTGCCCGGATGCTACCGCAAATGTAAGTGCTGTCCAACCGTGAGGTCCTCTCTCGTTAACTGCAACACGTTCACCTTGTTCAAGAAGAAGAGAAATGACGGGAGCATGTTGTCCTATTATTGCAACCTGAAGAGCGTTTAGTCCGGATGGGCTTTTTGAATTGATATCGATGAACTTCCATCGAAGGAGCATGCTCACAATCCTGAGCTGTACTAATTGACACGCAACCCAGAATGGTGACACATTAGTCCCCGTAATCTCTTGCAGGAAACAGGCTGGGTGACTCAAGATGAGTCTGACGATAGTTTCACAGCATTTATAGACTGCAAAAGTCAAAGCAGTGATACCAGCCTCATGACAACTACTAAGATCAACATCTTTCCTCTGCAGAATAATTTCCACGGCAGCATCAAAACGTCTGTCTATGGCATACCATAGAATGTTAAGGCCGGCTGAGTCTCGAAAGTTGACGTCAACTTTCTTGGAACGCAGCAGAATCATCACCGTATGATTGAACTCCAAAGGACCAAGCTGTTTGGCGGCAAGGAGAAGGGGTGTTTGCCCTTCACTGTTGCAGGAATTGACATCGATGCGTGGATGTCGCAATAGCAATTGAATTGAGTTGAGATCCGCTTGTGCAGTCGCCTCATGTAAAATAGTCTGTCCAGATATATTTTTCAGATTGACATCAGTGCGTTCATCTGCCATAAGAAGCTGCAGAATATCGGACGCCCCAGAAGCGAGTGCGTGCATAGATGGCGTGTTGCATGTTCCGCTTTGGGCATTGATATTGATGATTGATGAACAGAGTAATTGCTCTACAACAGTGGTGTCACCGGTCAAAACTGCAAACGACAAGATATAAAGGCCCTTTAGATTTCGAACAAATGTGTCAATTGATGGTTGAGCGAGTAAAAACTCAACAGCATCGGTGTTGCTTTTCATAACAGCAAGCCAAAGTGGGGTGGGGTGAAGCCTTGGTATCGGGCGTTGACGTTTGCTGCATGATAGTGTAAAAATAAGAAGCCATATCGAGCCTTCCTCGGTTTACAGCTCGCCATATTGGAGGCAGCTTACTCAAACAGAGCTTTTGGAATAATTTTGGCTTGAAGAGCGAGTGGGAGAAGCTGGAAAGTAGGCAAAGCTCGATGATTTCCACATTTTCAAGAAATTGACAAATAATGCCCAACGGATATGGCGGTAGAGTGAGTAGCATATTTTCAAAATAGCAGCACAAGGTATGATAGACTTAATAGACCGTCAAAGAATGAAAAATCTAAATTCTGGGTGAGTCGGTCTATATGACTTGTGGGCATGCTGCTTGTGGAGTTCGGGCACCCACGTTGAAAGTCACGTGTACAACAAGCACTATTGTCTTACTCCTAGGAGCCTTTCTCTAGATTCAAAAGGTTCCGACCTTGTAAGAGCTTCTTAATCCCACCTCGACGGCTCCTAGGAGCTCGTATTGCAAGATCAGGATTATGAATATTTTTAGGGGCTTATATCGACCGGGGACTAATGAGGGTTAATACTAGAGCAACGCCATTACTAGCCTTTAATACTGCTCCCAGGGGCGAGAATAGGCCGCACAGCCTTACTAAAAGGTAATCGGATGAACCAGCATCTATGGCTCCTTCTTGGAACGCAATCTAGGGCGCGATCATACTTATACTTAACACTGTATTGTGACAAATGCAACTGAAATGCGTTTGCTATTCTGCATATGTACCGTTGCCTTGATTTTCTTTGTTTCGATACGAAAGTGTTCAAGAAGACCGCCACAGTACCAGGATCATATCAGAGACTGTTCCTACGAACATGAGGGACCGCAAACTTGCAGGAGCACGTGCATGATTGTTTTGTAGGACTTGGCGATTGATCTGTATGCAGTACCTCATTAGCCGATATACTGGCTGAAGTCGTAGCCGGAGATTGATTTTCTGTAGATGTAGTGAAAGTCTTAGTTGTGTGTTTCAAAATTTGACCAGCAAGAGTTGTTCCAGAAGCAGATGTGTCCCTTGCAGTTGAAATCGAGAACTGACTGTCTAAAGTCGTTGTGGGCTTCTGAGAGGAAAATGTATTACTGATGCTACATTTACTGGGTATCTCAAGACCATTATCTAGCACACAGCTGAAGGTTTTCCCTTCACGGTCGAGGAAAGTCACAGCGCCATTTTTGTTGACTGTTACCCAGGCGACCTGTTGTCCATCTTCAGTGCCGCATATATCAACTCTCACTGACTGATCATTGGAACCGGCACCAATGAGATCTTTAGGACGTCAGAAGCAACATGAAGGCTTCCGAGTCACAATGGGCACTCACCTGAGCAATCTTTGCCTTTCCGCTTGGCGAAGGTTGCTGAATAGCCTGAACAGCCATGGTTACTCTGAGACCACACTCTGCAGTCGGTTTCACCGTCAGTGTCGTGAACGAGAGCCAAGAAACTGCCGGACACAACTTTTCCAATGATTGAAAGAAAAAGGTAATGGAAGGAAAGCATATTAGACTATACGTGACTTCAAGACAAGTAAGCGTGATGATGATAGCGACTGCGACCGAGGATGATTTATGTTCAAGAGAGAATTCGGCAAGCGAAACACGGACATCATTTATATATATTGATTATCTCTTCCATAAATTGAATCAAAAGAGGAAAATGAGGCCTCAATACATGTGGTGCTGTTCTTGCGGCGTAATTCACGCCAACACCATCTTTCCAAAAGGAGAGGTGTCTTTCAACCCTAAATTTATCCAATAACTACCTGAAATAAAGGCTGCGACAAATTCCCTCAAGTTGTTTCTTTAGATCCCAAGGCGACTATCTCAAGGTTAACTCGCCCTCTCGTTCCATCTATTATTCCTCCAACAGCTATTAAATTGTTTTTCCTTCATTAGCTTCATGATGATCTCAGCGGTCGTTGAATATTGCGACCGACTTGCTCAGTTTGATATCGAAGTCTTTTCGAAACAAATTCTGCAGAAATTGTGATACTCTACTACAGTAACGACTGAGATTATTCCAGTGAGTTCTCGATTTTTGCCAACTTTTTCGTTCACTGACAATATTCTCTACATTGCACTTCAAATGCTAGCCTCTCACGCTGTCACCGGCAGCAAAGTCTCTCAATCATACTCTAAAAAGTCGTGCGAGGAACGATTATCAAGGCCTAGGTCGGTGCTCTGAGCTGAAAAACGAATGAAGTTGAGCAGTTTGGCTCGAAAACATACCTCTTGTCATAGAAGCCAGTTTCCCGAAATGCAACGAAGCTCGCAACACTTAGTCACTGCAGTAATGCATGAAACGTAGTATTATGTAGACTGAAAATGAACCCGTATCATCGGAATTAGTTCCCGAGGTCTCTAAGTGTTGGATCACGTTATTTGAAGGATACCATATCTACAGCCTCAATTATTCCACTAAAATATCAAGGACTCAGTCCATTTTCTCTGAACTACAACATGAAAAGCCCACCCAATGTTTAGCTTCCAAAAGCCAAACTCAAACCGAAGTATCCTGCACCTATGAGAATCACGAGTGCCCCATAAACGGCCTCCCCAACGCCACCAAAATACATGATAGAGTGATATGGTATTCTGTCATCCCCTTGCAGGACTGTAAAGGAGGATTGGCACCCGTGGACATGATCTGCCAGGTAGGCTCCGGTGACGAGGATGACCAAACTCAGAATAAGCTGCATGAATCCAAAGTAGATTTGAAGGTTGCTGTTTTCGCGTAGCCGCCTTGAGTAAACCAAAAGCACAAGCCCGGCAATGGCAGAGAGGGCTGAAGCGAGGGCGGCAATGAGTACGTCTCCGAGAACTCTTTCCATGAGTTGTTGGAATGAGTGGGCAAGAATGGCATTGTCGGGTTCTGTGATGCCCAATCGCGCTCGGTCTCGCAGAACGATGGCGAATCTCGTAATAGCCGAGTTTAGACTAGCTAACACCAGGCCCAATATGGAGAAAGCCATAATGGTAAGACGTATCCGGATCATGTTCCGGGTAGGGGAGTTTGTCATTATGAGTAGACTATGTTGAAGCTATTCAGGTGGTGCCTTGATTCAAATTTTATATGAAGGGTAGAGATATAGACAAGCAGTATGGCAGAAGGTCTGTCGAGGTTCCTTAGCGCATCCTATATATGCCCTGTACCGCCTGTGAGCGGAGCATTCCATCCAGATCTAGGCAACATCCGGTGCACCTGGAGAGGCTTTGCATTTTTCGTTGCCATTTGACCTCGAAGGCATGGTCCCGCTCTAGAAGTAGTATACTTCCTAGGAGCGACATTGATACCAGAACCTATGTCTCCTGGGTATAAAAGTGTCCTAGGAGATACAACGTGCTCCAAGGGGCTAGTTGCAGCATTCCGAGGAGCCCACGCTGCGGTCCTAGGAACAACGCACAGCACTCCCAGGACCCGTTTGTCCCTAGGAACTAATGCAAATGGTCCTGGGAACGACGGTGAACGGCCCCAGGAGCTTCGACTACTGCTCCCGGGAAAGCACATTTGGCGCAAAGACCGCACGGTGCGCTGTGGGTCCACATAAATTTCTGCCAAAGCTACGCTGTCCGCCTTCACAGGTGCCACGTTATCCCTGGCAACCATTCTCGCAATGAGGCAAAGCATGGGCACAAGAGCTCTGACCCTGAAAGTGTCCTCTCGATATTATTTCATCCGATAGTTCTTCCGAAGTACAGTCTTGAGCAGATTAGTCACCACATTCCAGATTGCTGAGGTTCCTGGATATAGCTCGCGTTGTCCCAACACAATCCAAAGTAATAGCCAGCCAGCAATTCGGTGATACTCGATCGCCTTCCATCTTACAGCATTGAGCAAAAACCAAATCACCTACATTCGTCATCTTCTACAATATGTCATATACAAGCCTCATTTATGAACTACAGTATACAGAGAAGAGGAAGGCTTCTTTCTATGACCTACCGCGGGAGATCTTGGAATCGATCGCAACGAATCTTTACCTTCTTGATTACTTACATTTCCGTGCGCTTTGCCGTCGGACATGGTCTTTGTTTGGCTGTAAGGCTCTTGTACCCATTTTGAAAAAGATCCAGGCCCATAAAAACGACAATTCGGAAGTGCGGTACGAGAATTGCCAAGTCAAAAGATGTCATTACATATCGCGAGGCCATATCCTATCCTACGCCTACCGAAAGAATGGGTTGAATCCAAATCTTGATGTTCTGGTCCAGCTTGGAACATCTTTGAAGCACATTCCTCGCGGCGACATGGTTCAGCGCGCAGCTCTTTCACACAATTACAAAGTGCTTTTGATTTGGTTGATCGAACATGGTGCTTCTTTTCGAGATGTTCAAGGTGGTATTGATAGGCTCTGTTGCGAAGCATACGAGCAAGGCGATTTTGAAAAATTCCGCTGGCTCTTCTCGAAAGGAGCGTCTTTGAAGCATATGCCTTGTGGCGACATGGTTGAGCGCGCAGCTCGTTCACACAATTACAAAGTGCTCTTAAGTTGGTTGATCGATCATGGTGCTTCTTTTGGAGAGGTTCAAGGTGGTATCGATAGGCTCTGTTGCGAAGCATACGAGCAAGGCGACTTTGAAAGATTTCGCTGGCTCTTCTCGAAAGGGGCATCTTTGAATAATTTGGCTGGAATGGTGTTCCATTTTACTGGTTGTCATAGGCCAAGGACGCGTGAAGCTTGCCGTTATCATCTAATTTCGCTGAAAAGGGCCATCAGAGAAGGAGCAAAACCTAGTGGCTCTCACGAGGCCTTAACAGCAGAGCTTAGATTGCGTCGACGTAAAGGACTCAGTGACGCTTGGAGGAGACCGATCTGTTAGATGTGCAGCTTGTGGATTTCAGAAGACGAACTTGGCACAGAAGATCTACAGTAAAGACTTGAGCGATCAATTGCTGACGAGCTGTGTTGCCAAGTAATCTTGACAAACGAGCCCCTACATTTGTTAATTATTTTTGGCGCAAAGCTTTTCAATTTAGAGTTTCACAACTATATGTTCGTGTAAAATATGGATGCCAATTTCGAACATGAGTAGAATGGATGAATGGATGGATAATTTCATTTACCCCGCTACCTCGGATTCAGTAGACTTAACTACCAGGTTAAATACGAATCCTTGTCAGCCTGCTGGATGAGGTTTATAATCAACTCGCGAGGGGTAACGGTTTGATTTCACACACACTGATACAGTACACACAGTGGTCTCCGAACGAGAAGAAACGCCCGTTAATTCTTCTCGAATTCGTTTATTCGCAGCAGATAGATATTAGAGACAGATTTAGCGGTGTACGGCTCCCGAGTATCACTGGAAGTTCACAAGTGACTGCAAAGATCCTTGAAATAGAAGCCGTATTTGGAGATCCTCCATTAAATAGACGAAAGCAGATGCCGCATTACGGAAGTATCATAATGAACTGTCTCCAAAATAATCGCATTCCCGCATCCTATGTAGGCCAGCACAGATCTCGCAATTTCACCGTCCATGCTGTTTAGAAAACTCCATATTTCTGACCGGATTGTATGTCTGTGCAGGTTCGATTCGAAATTTGGACTGTTTTTCTTGCTGCACTAAGACACAACAAGGGCAGCAAAGTGACGCCATGCAATCTCCGCAGCCCGAGCCCTTAATGTGAAAGTGCTTCCTTATGCTCCTCCTCTTTAACATCAGAGGAACCCACTGAAGTACGCAGCAACTCAGTAATGAAAAAACGCAGCACTATACATGGATAATCAATATCTTTCTCAAGTTTACAAAGGGAATCTGATGGTACTTTACGTCAAAATTGCAAGAACTGTCTCTTTGATCACCTTTTAGACGCGAGGAGGTTTTTCCAAACAAACAACATGGCACAAAGCAGGCGCAACAACCTGCAGAAGATGTCAACACTAGTATTTTGCTCGCATTATGGAAGATTTACAGGTCTTCGTAGGATCACAGCAGCCCCAGAGCGAATCAGACCATTCTCTCTCTGCAAATTCGTGGGATACTGGCATGGTAAAATTTGACAGATAGCTCTAGTGTAACAAAAGTTCAAACATGAGATGTATGTAGACTAAATATGCAAGATGAGCAGGGCAATTTGTTAACTAGGGACGGAATTTCAACGACAATCACTCCAAGCTTGAAGCTGCCACGTTTGATGGATTGAATGCTATCACGTTGAGAGCATATTCTTGCTTGGTGGACGGTGGAGCCAGTCAACCTCTTTCACCACCCTCTCTTTTCACCACCCTCTCTTTTCACCACCCTCTCTCTCACCATCCTCTCTTTTCACCACCCTCTCTTCACATTAGAACATCTTTCGACAAACTTATTCGCAAAAGGTCGTTGAAAGAAATTGGACGAGATTAATTTAAGCTATTTACTGTAAAACTTTGAGGTTGTTGAACTGATAAATTAGAGAAGCCCATGAATTACTTTGTTACTAAAAGCCGTTGGAAAATTAAATGTAAAGCCACTTGAGTCGGCTATTTACGGTAGATAAAACCATCATTTAATAATTTTACCTCAAATGACGTTATATTGGGAAGCTACTAGTAATCCCCAGTTATCCAAAGCCTTTGCTCACTATGCCCCTTTCCACCACCTCTCTTTTCAACTTCCACTAGCATGGCGATCCTGAGTTGAGTATTTTACGGACTTGCTGAGCATAGTTACAGCCGTTGTCAATATTGTACTCAGAAAATCCAGCAGACCACAACATAACTCCACCTAATGCAGAGTGGCCAACATATTCGCGGAGTAAGGTCGCAAGTGCGTTTGGTTGAAGATAATACTGCGCTCCATCGTATGTTCCTGTGGCTGCATAAGGGGAGGCTGGTAAACCGATCAATATTTTGGCATCGGCAGATGCGGTTCCAGCGATGTTAGTCACCCAAGACTCAAAATTGATGGCACCATTAACTGAGCAGCTAGGATTGTTGTAGAACTGCACCCAAAGATAGTCGAACTGACTATTCGTGATAATATGTTGCATATTTGGTTCAGGGATAGGACATTGTGGTGCCCCAGTAATGTAATATTCATTCGAAAGATCGGAATTGAAGTTAGAGCGCAAAGTGCAGATAAGATGTTGGTAGAACTCATTACCGCGTGAGGCCTCGATATCGAAGTCCCAGCCATTGACAAAAGTTGCTCCAAAGGGTCGATGTACGAAATCATTTTTCGTATTTCCATATGCGTCCCAGAGATGCTGACCAATAGCTCCAGCCTCCTGCTGTGACGAAAGAGAGTATGCTCCCATCGCACCACCAAGCGAGAGAAGAACTTTGACTCCATTTTCTTGGCATTTCTTGATTGCAGCAGCCAGATTCTCGCATTGAACAGACTCTCCGTTCGGCAATATCGAGCACGACTGCCCAATCGTACCCGATGCAATCGTATTTCCATTGCCATACCCATAGAGAAACGCTAGTACTATGATATCGATACCAGCTGTTGGTACACAGTACATAGATAGATCATTGTCCTCAATAGTGTTTCCCCCATTCTGTCCCCAGTATATCACGTTTAGAAAATGAGATGAATGAACTTCATCATCGCCCTCTATTGGCACTGCTGAAACGATGATACCAAGAAGAAGCAGGCTTGTGAATAAAACGAGAGAATGCGTTACGCCACCCATCCTTGTGAGCTTGAGGAAGGCCCTGGTTGATATAGTCGAGGTTGTTTATTGGTTGTTTATTGCACGTCAAATAAATTCAACGAAACTGAAACTCTATTCATCTAGGATGAGCTGCTCTAAGATCTTATTGACGTAAAATCCCATTGACTCCAAGTGAGATAGTTTTATCGGCCATTATGAAGACGGTCGCCACACGGTATAATCGTTGCTGTATAGCGGATTACAGAGGGCTTTCAGTCCCTCAACTATATACAAGTTTTTACAGCATTGAAAGTAAAAGAAATATTTCAGCGGTTATCGAATCAACACTTTCCTATCATACATCTACCACTCTTCTCTCCATCTGCACATGAATACAACCAACGTTCCGCTGACCACAAGATCTTAGTCCACTGAACTCGATGCCGGGTTGGGATGAGCGAAATCAATCGCTCGTATGTACTGCTATTGTGTAAGAGTCTAAAGTCTAGGCACTTGTTCATTATTGCAGTTTTCTCACCATGATATATCATGATGTATCTTCATGATCATGGCAAGACAGTTTCGTTTCTTAAAGTGCAAGTACAACGTACGAATAATGAGAGGTAGGCATGCTCTTAGTGGTAAGATACAGATGTATTGACTGGAAACGCTGTGTCATTATGTTACCATACGGTGTTCCGAACTGTAAAACCACGGGTGGCTGTGCGATTATGTGGCTGTGCTGTCAAGTGTTACTGCGTAACAAACAAAATGAAACGGTTTCATAACCGGTCGATTCACCGCAACCCCTCACCAATTCTTACGTCGTCGAGTACCCGTGAACAAATAGCTAGCCTAGCTATCCCACAGCAGTCTACAGTTGGTAGCCTGAATTGAAAAAAGAAGTACACTTTCATCATTTGCAATTCATGTTTTTACTTAATGGGAGCTGAATCACCGAATTACGATATGGGACATCAGTTCAGAGCTGGCTGGGTAAGTTATTATCACTCAAGAAAACTAGACTGACCTACAAATATTGGGACATATGCGTGTATATTGTTGAACAGAAGTTTGTTATCGCATCAGGTTCTAACGCAATCTGGCCAAAAAGAATGAAATTTCACCCAGACCCCTGAGTGGGTCTTCACTCCCCTCAAAATATTGACTCCCGCTTCGTACAAACGCTTTTTATAAAACTCTAACGACAGTGGTGAAGAAATAGGCTGGGCGTATGGCATAAAAGTTTATCAACGATAATTCAAACAAAGACTGGAATTAATAAAATTAGATCCAACTTCAATAAGAATCAGCATCGGGGAATTTAAGTGCCGCTCATTCTCGCGTGCTCAGAGCTACTAAAAACTCAAATCGAATATTTTGATAAAACTCATTGCCATCAAATATTTACCCCCTCATGTCAGCCGATCAGCATATCTTCAAGACTAAAATCGCGAGAAGAAATTATCAGAAATTGTACAGGAGAAAAGAAAGTCTTTTCAAGAGGGCTACCCAATACTCCAGAGAATGCGATGTTGATATTCAGATCATTGTTCGAATGGGCAAGACCGGCAAAATATTCACCTTGACCTCCAAGACAGAAGGGTGGCCGCTATCAGAGAGCCAGCTGGTAGGTCTGAATGAAAGTAACCTGAGTGCTATAAGTTCAGTCGCTAATTAAACGAGAACGCAAATCACCCCGTGCCAATCCACAGAACGACAGATGAGCTTGCTTTGCAATATGAAAAGCATTGCGACGAGAGAAATAAAGCAATCAATCTTGAAGATACGAATCAAGGAAGCAAGGTACCAAAAGAGGGCACGGAAATTCCGAAATCATGACTTGACAATAGCGACCGGAAAAAATTAAGAATAGGTAGATTCAGTTATTGGGAGCCGTTCATATATTTTCTGTGCAATACATATAGTTTTCATGGACATTCATCGAGTAGTGTGGGTAAAGTCACAAGGACTTTCGTATCTATACAGCAGAAGACTTGTTAGGGGTATCTAATAGTTTCTCAGGGAGTCGCAAACTAACAGAACATATAAGGAAGCCAGTGGCTCTTGGAGGCAAGATGCAGGATTCCGGGAGCAACGTTCTATCGGACAAGGGTGCTGGCATCAACTCGCGGGGTGACTTTTATGACGATGCTTCAATGGCCACCCTTGAAGGTGGAATCCATGCTTTCTCTACAGAAGGCTTTTAAGGAGGCCATGATGATTTTATCTATCTGCTTTGTGACAATGAATATTAACACGTAGGCTGGGATGAATGGACGCTGGAATGCAAGCTGGAGACGTGGCCAGACCATCGACTGCATTGTTTGAACTTTCGCGATAGGTTAATTCTAGAAAACAAATCGCTCATACAGTACAATACAAGGACTATTGTTTGATTCGTTTATCTAAGATTGCGAGGAAATACCGCCAGACAGCGGATCAGGGTAACTTTAAATGGTATATGCAATGCAAGGTAAAGTTCCGAATAAAGAGGTAAAAATGGTTTCGAGCGATCCTGTAATTAGATGCGCTTGTTGGTTAAGTATATACAAAAAATAACTTTCTTCGACAAGTCAAATGCCCCTCTACCTTTAGGCCAAGTCAAGGCCTAGCGCAAAAGCTGCCTTGCTCATTTACATGAGCTTGCAGATAAAGCGCAATTTTGAGGCTCGAAGCTGCTTCAATGGCTCTTTGCACATCACTACCATTTCGTGCCCGAGGGTCCTTGTAGAGATGCATGACGACCTGCTCATGCCCATTCCGAGCTGCATGGCATAATGCCGTCTCCTTGAAGGTATCAGTAGCAGCAACATCCAGTCTTTCTTCTTGAAGCAAGAGACCTACAATATGCGAGTGCCCACCGGAAGCTGCCAAGGAAAGCGCAGTGCGTCCCATGTAGGTTTTGAAGTTGATGTTGGGTGGGGGTGTGTGTCTCAGCAGGAGTTTCGTAACTTCAAGGTGTCCCATCGCAGAGGCAGCACAGAGAGGCGACTCATCCCGGTACGTCTGGTTGATATTGATGGTATCAAAGCAAAGTAATCGACGTAAAACGTCTAGATGGCCCTCGATGGCAGCACGGAACAGTGGAGGGGCTCCTTGCACGTTAACTTCTATGTCTGCTCTTCCGAGAAATAGTTCCACCATGCGTAAATCTCCTTGAGAAGCAGCATAGGTGACAGGCGCCCATTTTTCTTCATCAAGCATATTGGGATCTAGATCATCCTTGGCGAGAAGGACAGCTATGATGGGTATATTCCCCATCACTGTCGCAGAATGAAGAGCGGTCCTGCCATCTCGACCTGCCACGTTGATTTTCACATTATCCTCTGCGAGAATTTGCAAGGCTATGGCAGTATTCCCATTCTGCACAGCTAAGCAGAGTGCTGTTGCCCCATTAACGTCTAGGGCATTGATATCCACATCATCACGGGTCAAGAGCAGCCCCGTAATCGACTTGTGGCCGTATTCTGCTGCAATATGCAAGGCGGTGCGACCGTAACTGTCTCTCGCGTCGACGGATGTCTTTTTATAGACAAGCAGCTGTTGGGCCATGTTCCTGTCACCCTTTCCTGCGGCTTGATGCAACAAAGTCTCGTGATACTCATTCCTGATATTCGGATTTGCACCATGGGCAACCAGTAGCAGGATGATATCTTTGAGGTCTGCCTTTACAGCCCGGTGGAGGAGACTTTCTCTGACATTGCCATCTTCAAGTAAAGACTTTCCTGTGCTAGGATCTGAATGGCGGAGTAGCATCCGGGTTATTTTCCTATTCTTCTTGGCAATAGCAAGACTGATTGGCGAAAATCTTTTAGAGCCTTGCCTTTGTACATCACTGCCTCTTTGCAGAAGGGCTTGCACGAGGTTCTCATCGCAATGTGCAATGGCATACCAGATTGCAGAGCGCTGCTCGCCATCCTCTTTATCCAGACACGGCTTAAAATCCAACAGAAGTGAGACTGTAGACAAAAGGTTCCTGCTAATGGCATATAACAGTGGAGTTTGCTTATCTTGATCTTGCCAATTAATATCTGTTCTCTTGTCGGAGAGGAGCAGGCGAATAATTGTCTCGTTCTCAGCGCGAATGGCATGAAAGATGGGTGTACGAGATTTATTATCTGTTGTGTTGGTTTCTGCATGGTAATTGCACAACATCTTTTTCACAAATTCTGAATCACCTTTGCAAACACCCCAAAGCAATGCCGAGCTGTTTTGATGTTGTACGTTGAATTTGTACAGCTGGTGAAGAAAAAGATCTTTTCTTGCCCTAGTAAGACACGATAGCGCAAGTAAATCCTTGGCTTTGTCGACTCGGTCTGCGATGCAAAGAAGAACTTCTGTTGGTAAATCATCAAGGAGAACCATCTATCGTATATTAGCTTATACACGAAAAATGCGGCAGATAATGGGCACGGGGAATACTCACATTGACTTATATCGACAGCTGAGAAACAGAAGAAAATGGGTTGCTGTTTTATGTTTAGCACCCTAAACTCTTGGTGGCACTAAATCTGGAATCGAAATGCGCCATGAAGTCAGCTCTTATAAGCTGGTTGTAGAGTTATTATGTCACTTCAATAAATAGGGATAAATTCAGTCCCAGGAACGATAGCTACTGCTCCCAGGAACGATAAGCATTGCTCCCAGGAACGATAAGCACTGCTCCCAGGAAGAATAGGCATGCTTGTGGTATGCTCATCATCTGATGTACATACATGTACTATTCTTGAAACAGATCAGATCCATGCCGTCGGGAGCTTTAAATGCGAGGACGAGCGTATCAAAGTAAGCACGTATCAGGCAACATCCAAATCCAGACCGATTTGATACCCTCCAATTTGACTTCCTTCACACCCATCTCTTTTAGGTTAGTCGGTGAATGCTAAGATTTTATTTTCTGGGTCTGCGGCGTGTAAAAGCCATGTCAAAGGTGTGCCACTCTCATAATCTGATGCATTAATATTTGCCCCTCGCGCCGATAGAATCTTTACAACAGCCAATGAGCAGTATTCAGTAGCTCAAGGGGAGTGGCGTCCGCCCCCACTGGTCCCGGAATCCACATTCGGCTTACTTTCCAGAAGATATAGAAGCAAATTTGTGCAGTTCCCTACCGCAGCGTAATGTACGAGAGATCTCAATAAACGCCACAGTTATTCCCCAAATCAAACCAAAACCACATTCAGGTTGGATAGGCGAGGTTGAGTGTAATGGGCCCAAAAGTCGAAAAGATGTAAGGCAATTTTTCGTCCTCAGCTGACAGTGATAACGAACGAGACTCTGTTGTCTTGTTCAGTGAGCCTCGTTCAGGCTTCGGGATCGACCTGACAAGATCTGGCGAGTCAAGGAAGAGACCAGGTGGGCAGTCGTGCTATCGATTCAAGGCTCCAGGAAGAGTCACAATAATTTGATAATGATACAACTAGTTCTTTCGTGAGGAATGGTCCAGGCCGGCGGAATATTTCTAGATTGGGTGGCCATTCGCTTGTGGCAGACTGACGTAAAAGCGAATGGCACTTTGGAGGGGAAGGGACAAAGTTTCATTAGGTATTTTACCTGTTTTAATCTTGTTTTTGGTTTGGCAGGAAATGCTTGCTAGTAAAGCAGCGGCTGTATCCTCTTCATTACTTTTGCGTATGAGACTTGCGTTGTTATTTGGGAAGAGCATATTCCAATATGGGCTCTCAACTTGCTGCCTAAAGATGGTGGCTTAGAAGCTTCTAAACTGATTTTGCCTTCCGTAATTGGTGTGTGCTCATATTAAAGCTTGATCCTTAGGCATTTCCAAGATTGCGAAGCCGTGGGTCGATGAAAGCTGAGTTTGGCGTGCTCGGAGAACCTTTCCTTGAGCGCGTGAGGTATCTTGGCTGTCGTTCAATTCTGCTGCTCTTTTCCCCAATCTCAGAGCGCCGACTCAACCTGTGACTTTTTCGGATGTCTGATGAGGATTTGACTGGCTGGCGAGAGCTTTTCGGATCGTTTTCTTTACTTGAGGGGCTATCGCTCATTCTGGAGCGAATGATGGAATGGCGCTGCCTTACTGCCGACGGGCTCCGTTTGGGAAAGTAGCGAAAGATAGACGTCCACCCCAGCTTTTGGTCATCCCTCAGTTCTGACAGCAGATGATCATCTTCGGCCTCCCACTTCTTACTTGTCGCTGAGTAACGTCGCCTTGTTTTGGATATATCGTTCTCGGTCTCAGTCGTTAACAGATTGCTTGTTGCAATAATGCCGTATGAGTGTTGGAGAAATTTGATTGCGTTCTGAACCACGACGAGACTTTCCCTGTAGACACCGCCATCGACCAAATCATCTGAGAATTGAGCTTCAGCGCTGGCCAAACCATAGAAGTGTTTCAAGTATCGTATTGAGTCCCTAATGCTGGAATGCTTTTGCGAATGACTTTCTTCGTCTTGGAATGGGCGTTCATCTCTTCGACTGCATCTTCTTCTTGTCGGTTCAAGTTCCGGATCTGCGGTGTTCAAATAGCGGGTCTGGGGTCGTTTCCGTGGAGAATCTGGTCTCTCTAGGGCTCGCTTCTTGCCTTTTGAACTAGACCGCTCATGCACATTTTCGCATTCTTGTTCGGCTGGGTCGTCCTGAAATACATCGAAGACCCTTGACGTCCCAGGGCCATCCAGACCAGTGACGGAAGGGCTACTGCTAACTCGAGAGGAAGGATAGAGTGCGACCTCCTCGGGGTAATCAGGATAATCAGAGTTGGTATCAGCGGCTGGTGTATCGCGAGCAGACGTTTCGTGTATAGTCTCCTCGGCAGACTGGCGATTTTGTGACACTAAGGTGATTACATTAGGTCGCCTCAAGTGAAAATCGGATGCTGAAATAATCCTACATACCAAAGTCTCCCAATTCATTCCCGTCATGTGGTCTGCTTTTCCACGGCACATAGCCATTTGCCTCACATCTTTCTACGTGAGTAATGGATTGTCCTGACGCTCGAGAAGAGTCATGTTGAGGACCATTATCCGAACATTCTCTCGAGATTCCTGTGGTCGGTTGCCAAAATTTTTGCTGATTTAGCGTCACCATGATGACAGGAGATTTGAACGATTTGATCAAGGAGCTGTTCAGCCGGGGAACTAGGGGCGCGAGGATGTAGATTGTAAATGAAGATGGGATTTCATAAATTTGGAAGGGAATACCCCTGGCTTCTTATAACTATTTGTACCATCGTGCTTTTCAAGGTCCAGATCCCAATGAACCGATGTCATCAAGGAATCGGCCTCTGCACGAGTTGTAAGTGGCTACAGCTAAGGACGAGAGTCCAGACAACAGATCCCTGAATTTAATCCACTGCAAGCTGTCGTAACCAATTGAGTGCCGCGCTAGCCTGGGCTATACCAGCAAAAGGAGGTGCTCCTAGGAACTCACGCCTGACATGATAGCGTGATTAGCGATTGGACAGTAAGTAGAATTTGATAGGTTATGAACGTTTTCCAAGCTTCTTCATGTGAGTGGATAATGGCCTAGGGTCAAGGAACTTGTGCTAGGCTAAAGGAATGGATACTGTTCCTGCGGCTGAACCAATCCATAGGATAGAGCCAAAGACAGCAACCAAATTCCCTGTTTTAACACTCCGTCAAGAAACGCATACATGTCCATGTTGAAAAAATTCTTCGGAGAGTGTATTGTAGGAATTCGTTTCTGCTGCGATATGGAGGATTATGGTCAATAAGCTAAAAAGTCGAGTAGCAAGCGCTGGAGAACATCTACCGCGCACAATTAGGTCATATATTTGCTTGGGCTCCTAGGAGCGACCGCAGGCAGCAAAGCGCTTATCATCGGAGGACGTGAAACCAAAAAGAAGCGTTTTGTGGGCCAGCCGGAGCATCCAGGGTGAGGGATCAGGGTGCTCAGGGAGTAGCTCCGGGAGTGCTCCGGGAGTGCTCCGGGAGTACTCAGGGTCGCTCAGGGTCGCTTAGGGTCGCTCAGGGAGCAGCTCAGGGCGGCGGGGGGACTAACTCAGGTTGGGCTCCGGGAGCCGATCGCTTCCCGAGGCGGCAGTGTTACCGTCACCTTTATTACTAGATAAGTAAATCGAATAGATTACTAAATAAGTAAATTAAATAGACTACTAGATAAGTAAATTACCTAGATTTATATATAGGAAAATTAAATATAGTTTAGTATACTAAAGAATATCTTTATTATAACTATACTAGTTAAACTAGTATATATAATATCCTATATTCTAGGATATACTATAGAATCTATCTAGTATCTATAATTATCTAGATTAGATAATTTAGAAGGTTAATATATAGTATCTATACTATAATATAGAGCCTCTATATAGAGCCCTAGAAATCTAAACTATCTTTTCTACCCTCCCTATAATTTTAATACTACTAATTTAATATATATATTACCTTAAACGTTATGTTTATCGAGTTCTATTTAGTTATAATACTTTTAAACTAAGAAGTAAATATTTCCCTATTTTATAGGTAGTAGTACTCTATAGATAGTAGAATATATATTTCTACCAGTTATATTTTATAGGTAGTTACTCCTATAATTATACCCTATTAAAAATATTTCCTATTTTTAAAACCTTACTATAACCTTAATTTAATACTAATTCCTATTAGCTTATACTATTCTATATAATACTACTAACTCTCTAAACTACTAAAATCTAAAGCCTATAGCTTACTATTACGAAATAAGTACCTCTACTTAAGCGAGATTACGTAGCCTAGTATCTAATATACCGACTCCCCTAGTAAGACCCCTACCTTCTACCTAAGTAGCCCCGAGTTACCCCGCTTCGGGAAGGTAGTATACCTCGGCTTACTATATACCGATAATATAGTAAGATACTATCGCTACTCTATACTAGAGTAACTACTCTAGTATAAATGTCCTATATCTTTTCTATATTCCTTTAATTCCTTAAGAATTAGTCTTTATTTTAATCTAACTATACTAGTTCCTCCTTACCTAATCGATAGGCCTTTTATCCTATAAGTAGACCCTATAATAATTCTAATTCTTTTTCTTTAATTACTTAAGGAATTATAGTACTAAGAAACTACTCTAGTATTATTACCGATATTAAACTAAATCTTTTAGTATCTACTAATAACTTACTAAGTCCTATCTTAGAAGAAATCCTTTTAATTATAGATACTAAGCTAGATATAAATATCCGAGCTATTTAAAAAAAGATCTAAAAACTAGAAAAACTAAAAAGCCTATAAAATAAAATAACTACCCTTAAAGCTAAGCTTAATCTAAAAAATATACCTAAACCCTAATTATATTATTACTAATATACTTACTTATCTTCTAAGAAAAATAAGCCTAAAATTAAGTTTAAGAATATTCTAATCTTTAAACTTAACTATACCCTCTAGAAATAATAAAAGTAGCTCCTAGACCTCTAATAATCTTTTAAAAAGGCCCCGAAGAAATATAAAACTAATAAAAAAAAGATTATCTATTTAGTTAATTATATAGAAATAGTCTATCGGTAAAGATAGTATAAATATATAGAGAAAAAGCTACTAAATACTAACTAAAACCCTAAAAAAGACTAGCCTTATTTTAAAGTATAGACCTTAATCTTTATTTAGAATACTACTAGTCTTAAGATAGAAATAATAATCTAGATAGAATAGACCTACTAATATTTCGATAAAGACCTAAAAGAATTCTATATCTATCTCGATATTTTAGAGTAATATTTCCTATACTAAACTAAAAAAGAGTACTCTTTTATTTTCTTTACTAAACTATAATTTAATCTTTAACCCTATATTTAACTATATATCTTTTACCTACTAGAAATAAGAGAAGATATAATTAATATTACCTATTATTACTAAAAGATCCGATAGTCTAATTATAAATAAAAGGCTAATAATACTAGAGAGGATTACTCCTAGAGATACTTATATTATTAAGATAATAAAAATAACTAGACTCTAACTAATAATAAGTTATTAAAAAAAGCCCTAAACCCTATTAGAAAGAAAGGATATAGCTCTAATATTTTAAATATAATAGTAAGAAATATCTCTCTTTTAACTATTTTAAAAATACTATAACTATCTAATCTACTATCTAAAAAAAAATATTTATATAGAGAAAAATAGCTAAGTTAGTATAAATCCTATAATACTAACTCTATATCCTATAATAGGAGTAAATACTTAGTTCTACGTCCTAATAACTATATAAGATACTATTAAGATATATATAGATCTTAATAGTAATATAGAGATAGATATAGTTAGCTATAACTTTATTAAGAAATATTACCTAAGCTAGATAAAATTAACTAAACTTTTTATATCTATTATTAACTAATAAGAAATCCCTACCTATAGCGTCTAGGAAGTCCCTATTTAGGCTATAGACTTATATAGAGTAATATAAGTAATAATAAGACCTTATATAGCTATTAATAAAGATCCTCGCCTAGAAAGAAGCCTAATCCTTCTCTCTATATCTATATTATATAATCTCTATATCTACTTTTCTATAGTAGATTAACGCTAGTAGTTTAAAACTATTACTATAGAAATCCTTATCCCTTACTAATTTATAAAAGCCTATAAGAACTATATATATATTTTCGCTATAGTAAAAATATTTAAAGAAGTTTAGATTCCTAGGGATAAAGAATTTAAAGAGCCTATAAATCCTACCTAACTACTTACTAAATTATAAGTATTTTAAGATATATTCTCTAATAAAAACTTAAAACTCCTCTTATTATCTAAATCTACTAACTACTCTATTAATCTTCTCTTAGGCGAATTATCTCTATATAGCCCTATCTATCTTTTATCCTAAAAAGAGCTCTAAGAGCTATAGAGATATATTAATAAAAACCTTACTAATAGCCGAATTCGCCTATTAAAGAGCCTTACTAATACTCTAATTTTATTTATACTAAAGAAAGATAGTAGTCTCTATCTCTATATAGACTATCGAGGTTTTAATAAAGTTTCTATAAAAAATTAGTATCCTTTATCTTTAATTTTAGAGATTCTTAACTAGCTTTCGGGAGCTATAGTATTTAGTAAGATTAATATCTAAGATATATACTATTAAATATATATTAAAGAAAGAGATAAGTAGAAAACTACCTTCTAAATATACTATAGCTATTTTAAATATATAGTTATATCTTTTAGGCTAACTAATATACCTATAATCTTCTAAAATTATATCTATATAGTATTTTATAATATACTCGATATCTTTATAATAGTATATCTTAATAATATCTTAGTCTTTTTAATAGATTAAAGTTTAGATATAAACTACTTTTACTAGGTCTTAGGATAAATATATAAGATAGACCTCTATACTAAACCTAGTAAGTATATATTTTACTAAAACTAGGTTAAATTCCTTAGATCTATTATCTCCTAAAAAAGTATCTCGATAGACCTTTACTAAGTAACTAATATTACTTTATAGATAATCCCTAAGATTTACTAAGATATATAGGTATTCCTAGATTTCTATAACTTTTACTAATAATTTATCTAGAACTATTTAGAAATTACTTTACTACTTATATTTTTTCTAAAAAGAAATAAAAATAGGAAGAAACTAGGCATTTACTATCTAAATATAGAAAAGATAGTAATATTTTACTAGCTTATCGCTATATTTTAATTACCTCCCTTTCTCTAATACTTTAATCTAATAAAACCTATTCGTTTAGAAACTAATATATTACTATATATAATAGTTAGTATCCTATTATAACCTAACTAATATAAAGTCTATTATCTAGTAATATTCTAGTCGAGGAAGTTCTTAGGAGTAGAGATCCTATATAGAATACTAGATTAAAAGCTATTTACTATTATTTATTTATTTAAATACTAGCGATACTACCTAGAGGGAAGTATATATACTATTAAAATACTATCTAACTATTTAAACCTCTAAGTATTTATAAAATAACTAAAACTAAATAGCCGATAAGCTAGATAGTATATACTACTTATACCTTTCGATTTTATTATAAAATATCGAGTTAGAAAGATAAATCCTACTAATAG